TCAGGGATGCCACATAGAGTGACCACAGCAGGGCTATGCACTTCATACATCTTAGGCGAATAAACGTGACACACGCCTGCCATTTCAGCACTCGGGTTCAGGAGTCATCTTTAGCTACACAGCAAGTTCAAAGCCCGCCTTGGCTACTTGAGACCCTATTTTAAACAAAAAAAGCAAGAAACATGGGCTGGAGAGATAGCTCAGTGGTTAAGAGCACTGGCTGTTCTTGCAGAAGATTGGAGTTTGAGTCCCAGAACACACATGGTGGCTAACAACTATCCATAACTTCAGTTCCAGGGGATCCAATGCCTTCTTCTGACCTCTGCAAACATTGCACGACATGGGTGCACTTAACCATGCAGGCAATACAGTCATACACATAAAATAAAAATAATTTAAAAAAGCAAAAATAAAAAAAAAACCAAATTCATCAAACATAATTTTTTTTTGTTTTTGAGACAGGGTGTCCCTGTATCCCAGCTGGCCTGGAACTCACTATGCAGACCAGGCTGGCCTTGAACTCAGAGATCTACCTGCCTCTGCCTCCCAAGTGCTGGGTTTAAGGCATGCTCCACAACCCCAGCATCAAATATAATTCTTAAAGCCAATGTTTACAAGCAGCATGGCCTTAGTATTAAAGGTTGCATTCCACAGGAGATTGCATTGCATTAAAAAAAAACCTTTAAAATTGCCAGGCATGGTAACACATCCCAGTAATCCCAGCACTCTGGAAGGTGACATAGAAGGATCACAAGTTTAAGCCAACCTGGGCTTCAGTTTAAGTTCAAGGCAAGCTTGGGCTACACAGGGAGACCTTGTATTAGAAATGAAACAGACAAGCCAAAAACAATACTGGAGATATAGCTCAGTTGGTAGAGTGCTTGCTTAGCATGCAGAAAGCCCTGGGTTCCATCACCAGCACTAAATTTGCCAGATGTGGTGGCAAATACCTGTTATTCCAGGACTTGGGAGGTTAGAGATAGGGGGATCAGAAGTTAGGTTCATCCTCAACTCTGTATTGAGTTCCATGCCCACCTGGGATACATGTCTCAGGAAAAAAAAAAAAAAGCAAAAAGTTCTATAGAATTAGGATGTCTTAATGAGACTTTTTAAACAAACAAACAAACAAACAAACAGGGACACATTCTAATAATGTGCAAAATAAGCAGAAAGAAAAGACCTGTCTTCCAATCACAATGTTTGAGTTTGCCTTCAGATGTTGCTCCTGTCTAACTACACATAATGACCACCTCTTTTCTCCTACCTCTCTTTTTAAAGTTTTGTCTTTCCTCTAAGAAACACTGATATTATCAGTGCTCTGAAATTTGGATGTAATCAGTCTGAGGTTCAATTTGGATTTGATAACTCAGCAATGTAGCTGAGGATGACCTTGAGCTTCTTCAAAAAATTATTTATTTAGGGGCTGGAGAGATGGCTCAGCAGTTAAGAGCACTGTTTGCTCTTGCAGAGGACCCAGGTTCGATTCCCAGCACCAACATGGTAGCTAACACCCATCCTTACCTCCAGTTCCAGGATATCTGACACCATCTTCTGGCCTCTGCAGGATTTGCACAACATTGGGTGTCCTTATATACAAGCAGACCAAACACTCAAACACATAAAAATAAATAAAAACTTAAAATTTGTTTATTTATTATTATGGTATATATATGATGTGGAGGGAAGGGCCCACATACAGAGGTGATAGGACAACTTTGTGGAGCTGGTTCTCTCCTTCCACCTTTATGTGGGTGCTAGGCATCAAACCCAGGTCTCCAGGCTTGCTTGGCAAGCATCTTTACCCATTGAGCCATCTCACCAGCCAACCTTGAGCTTCTGATTTTCCTGTTTCCACTTCCCACTTTCCAAGTGCTCAGGTTTTTTTGTTTTGCTTTTTTGTTTTTTGAGACAGGGTCTCCCCATAGCCCCAGCCTAGAACTTGCTGTCTCGCAGAGATCCACCTGCCTCTGCCTCCTGAGTGCTGGGATTAAAGGGGTGTGCCAACATGTCTGGCTTGTGCTGTTTTTTTTTTTTTTTTTTTTTGATGCTGTACTGGGAATAAAACCCAGAGCTTGCTGTACCTTAGGCAAACATACTACTGACTGAGCTACATCCCCAGTCCCATCTTGGTTATCATCCCTTTCTAGACCTTCCTCATAGGACAGATAGCCACTTCCATACTCAGTGGTTTATGTCAGAAGGCTGGACCATACCTGGTGGCTAACCCCATGACACACTCTCTCTTGGTCTTGTTATTCTGGGAACAGCAATGACCTCTAATCATATCTGTGACCGAGTTACTAGGTACAGAAAAGGCCTGAAGTCTGGACCTCCCTCTTTGTGACAGAGAGCGCCTTTCTGTAACATGTGACTTCTAGGTTCTCTTCAGCTCCAACCCAGCTGAGAAAAGGGTACCTGGCTCCCACCTCTGGCATGCATGGAGGTGGAGGCTGTGCTACTAGCCAGGCCTGGGCAAAATAGCTGAAAGTCTTCTTCCAACTCAGAGATTTTTCTTTCCACTTGACCTGTTTCTCTAACTCTAATTCCATGCTTTCTGAAGCCAACTGTGGTATAAAGGTTGCTTTGCAGTGAGTTATTTGGGATTACATAAACCATTTCATCAGACTTCTACAAGCTTGTAAGCCTGACTTTGACTAGAGACTTTAGGAAGAGCCCTTTACTTTATTCAATTTAGAAAATGTATAAGCACAGCTTTTCTGTGGCTCTAGGGAAGCTGTCAAACATCTTGCAATTCTTTGAAATTCATTTTTCAGGATTCTGGTAGGAGAGTCTGGTTCTGCCATTTCTTTAAGTGCAGGGACAAGAAACTTGGTTTTGCTGCAGACTGCTCGGTTATCTTGGTGTGCTTGTTGGTATGTAGATGGAATTAGTGTCTGGTGTGTGCGTAACACAGTACAAACAATGAAATTGTTGGAAGGTAGGAAGGACAGCTTGCCTTTGTTCTCTGGAGTCAGTAGGATGCTTCCAAGAGGAGCTGTACTCTCAGTCACTCTTTTCAGGTGGAGTTGTGTTTCTACAGACAGAACACTGAATCATGGGATGTCAGAAAAGACAGCAACTCTAGAACTTTCACTCTAGGATATTTGTCAGCAACCTGACCAGATGGCCTCAAACACTAGGTCAGATCACACCTTTTTTTTTTTTTTTTTTTTTATTTTTTTTTAAAATGTTTTTCCTCTCCTAGCAACAAAGGAATTTTAGCTTTTGAAAGCCTGGAACTGTCCCTCCCCTCCAGCATTCCTCCCTCTGAAGAGGTAACCCTAAAATCTTTTAAGGATTAGATGCTAGCTCCCAAATACTTTTGACATTTTGACATTTTTGGCCTTTGGAACAAAGTGTGTTGCTAACAGGCCCAAGGACATTTTGACCTTTGTTTGGGTAACCCCTTCAGAGGATGGAGTGATAAGAATAGGAGGTAGGAATTGGCTAGGCAGTTAGGGTCAAAAGACCCCAGATCACACCTTTATGTGGATAGGACAAGGCCTCATAGTGGCGGAGGGACCTTCAGTAAGAGGGTGACAGTACACTTCATCTTCTGTGTTTTTGTTTGTTTCTTTCTTTTGTGACAGTGTCTCACTATGCATCTCGGGCTGGCCTGGAGCTCATATGTAGCCTAGGCTGGTCCTGAATTTGTGATCTTCCTGCCTTAGCCTCTCAAGTGCTAGGATTACAGGATTATTTCTATATTCAGCTTTATCTTACATATTTTTAAGACGTGTATGTAGTATGTATATGTGGAGTGTATGTGTGGGTATGGGTATGGTATATATGTGGGTAGGTGTGTGTGTGTAGGTGTGGTGGGGGGTGCAATGTGCATGTGTAAACATGCATATTGAAGCCAGAGGTCAGTTCAAGTGTTGATCTTCAGGAGCTGTCCACCTTGTTTTTTTGAGACAGTCTCTCACTGACCTGGGGCTCACCAGTTTAGCTAGGCTGGCTGACCACTGCACCCCAGGATCCTCCAGTCTCACTCCCCAGTGCTGGGATTACACACATATTACCACCACCACCACTACCATGCCATATGGGGGCTGGGGCTTGAACTCAGGTCCCCATGCTTGCACATCAAGTACTTTACCCACTGAGCCAATCTCCCCAGACTGTTGGAGGAGATACTTCTTGTCAGGGAATGTTTTCTCTGTTCCTAACAAGCCACACTAAATACATACAAGTGATCAAGCTGCAGTGATTTGGTTCCAGTTGAGACTTAAAAAAGACCCCACTTTTGAGTATCAGTGGTATCACCTTTTATATTCTCAGACAGTTATAAACTGGTCATTGTGAATCTTATGACACTACTGTCTACTCCTAACAAATGATTTGATGCTAGCAGTGATTTCCTTTGGATGCTACCATTCATGATTTGGTAGCATATTGTACCCATAAGTATATTGGGTTCTTCCTGTATTGGAGTTTTAATGTGAGTAAATGATACCATTTGAAAAGCTCAATTTGTTATTAGAACCTGGTTGAAAATACCAGGAAGACTGTTACAGATGCCAAATTTTTTATTTGGGACAGTATAATAACAGATATGTGACAAGGTTAAAAATCATTGATTATGTATTTTATTTACAAAGTATTGCCTACTGTTGGCATTATGAAAGGAAATAAAGTCAATTAATAAAAAAATCCAATTTTATTCTTACAGAATAGTCTAGAATTGTCTCATTTACGTGTTAAATGATTTTGAGTCAGTGTACAAAACTGTTCAACCATTACCATATCCCAATGTTAAAATACTACCATCATCCCAGAAAGATCCCTCATTCCCATCTGTGATCATTCTGTCCTTAGCATGAGAGCATCAACCAGTGTGGGAATAGAGGGGAGAGCCCCAAAGATTCTCTGTGAGCCCAAGATCAATGTGCCCAACAATATGTACCCACAGGCCTGTGCTGAGGAGACCCTTAGCATGACTGGTTCCCCAAGCCCATGAGGGAACCAGTCATGCTAAGCCCCATCCTTACCCCTTCCAGGTGGATAAAATTTGAAGAAAAGGTAGAGGAAGGAGGTGAACGCTGGAGCAAGCCCCACGTGTCCACGCTGTCACTGCACAGCCTCTTTGAGCTCCGCACCTGCCTGCAGACGGGAACAGTGTTGCTGGATCTGGACAGTGGCTCTTTGCCACAGATCATAGGTGAGACCAGGGCATCTCTGCTGTAGTCCCCATAAACCAGGGAAACTCTCCAACCTCATGTCCATGTAACTGGCCAGTTCAATACCCACCTGATTCTGCAGAAATCAGCTTTGTCTCTGTCAGTGTCCATGCAGTGTTCCAATCACTCCAAGTTTACATACCATGCAGACCTCCAACAGCCAGGAAAGGAGCACCCTTTGAAATATGGTCCAGCAGAGCAGCAGATAGGGAGAGGGACTCCTGGCAGCATCAGACACCTGTTGCCATAGCAACCTATATCTTTTCAGAGGAAAATGGACCATCATTCATCTTTAGCAAATTAGCCCCTACTTAATGGAGTATCAAACAGAGGAGGTAGCTTGCCTCATGGTCACTAAATATTCAATGAGTTTTGTTCTGCCTGGAACATTTCATTTTGCCAGAAGCATTTCTTTTCTAAAAAGAATTATGAAAATCATTTAACACAGTACCTTTGTGCTTCCTGGTACACTTCACAGATCCTATTTCCTGTGCTCATACATGAAGAGACTGGAGTTTGCAGCTTCCACAGTCAGTGGCAAATCACAGGACTATTTTCATACCCCTGACCCCTTTAGCTCATCTTCAGTCCCACTAATAACAGGGAAGAATCAAGACTATGACACCTTGGTTCTTTCTGTCCCACATGGATTGGGCTTTTTTGTTTCCCACCTAGATGATGTCATTAAGAGGCAGATAGAGGATGGGCTTCTGCGGCCAGAACTCCGGGAAAGGGTCAGCTATGTACTCCTGAGGAAGCATCGTCACCAGACCAAGAAGCCTATTCACCGCTCCCTTGTGGACATCGGGAAGTCAGTCTCTACCACAAGTGAGTCAGGCTGTTCACTGGTGAGCATTGGGCATGTGACCAGGTGAGCCCACCTTGGAGAAACGGGAGTGTCTGACTTCACAATTCTCAAGAAACTTTGAGGTTCTGGGGCTCCGTCAGCCTCCTTCCCTGGGTGACTGCAAAGGGAGACAAGTTTGTAGTGGCTTTGTTTATTTTGCACTGACTGCACATGGGTATCATGTTAACCTGAGCTGCACCAGTAAGGCTACCATACTCACATGCCTTCCTTCCCCTCCCAGGTCGCAGCTCTGCCCGGAGACCCTTGGCAGGCCCAAGTCTGCACCGCTCCACTGAAGACCTGAGGATGCAGCAAAGCACCAGTTACGGACATCTGTGTGAGTGTTCTCTGTTGGTCAGGGTCAGCAGCATGCTGACAGTTGTAGAATGTCCACATTTTCATAGATGAAGAAGGTAGAACCCAGGATCTAGCTTGCCTTCTTGGGACACCACCAAGAGAAATCTAACTTGTCCTAAACCTGGGCTTGCCCTAGTGCCTGATTTACTACCATAAGATTCCAAATAGCCTTGCCAGGTGTGAAGCTCAACCAGCTCCAAAGGCATCAGAGTGGCTCTCACATCCTATGTCTGTTGACTTCAGTTGGTACTTCTGTTCTCACTAAAGCAATCATTTGTTCTGTTTTCTAGTGAGACCCTCCTAGTAATGGAATTAAAGACAGGTCCTTGGGTCTGGAAATGCAGGTTGGTGGTAGAGAGTTTGCCTAGCATGTTCAAGGCCCTGAGTCTGATTTCCAGCACCACAAAAACAAACACAACGAAACAAAAACCTTGCAGGACTCAAGTGACTCATGTCTTTGATCCCAGCACTTGGAGGCAGAGGCAGTCAGATCTCTATAAGCTTGAGGCCAGCCTGATCTACATAGTAAGTTCCAGCTGGGGCCACACAGTGAGACCCTGTCTCAAAAAAAAAAAAAAAAAAAAAGGAAGGAAGAGGGAGGAGCCAAGGCTGTCTCCCAGGGTGCTCACTGAGTGGCCAGTGGGTGGGATAGAGGGAACAGGGTGGAATAAGGGTCTGTAGGGTAATGACTCAGTGGAAGACGATGAGTTGGAGGCACCAGATGAGGCTGCTTCCAGGGGGTTGGAGCTTAGAAGAGACAGAACTAGAGATACATCCTGTGTGTTATTACCCACACTGAAGTGGGAACAATGGAAATGGGTGTGGTTGTCAGGGAGGGAGAGGGAGGGCGAAGACAAGACCCAGAGCAAACTCAAGCAGGGGAGGATCCTGAGACAGAGGGAGAGGAGCAGAGCAGTGTTTGGGAATCAGTGGTGGCTATAGGCCCAGAGCCAAGGAATTGAAAGACTGAGCATATCCACTAGACTGGACTGTTAGTGAAAAATGAGAGAGGCTTCTAGAGGAAGGAACTATTGGCTATTCAGATCATGCACTATCTCCCCAATGGGCTCTGCCAACCAGCACCCAGCCTGTCTCTAAAGACTCCTACAGATCCAAAAGGACAGAGGTAAAATTGGTTTTGCTCACCAACCTCAAAGTTAGTGATGTCTGGTACCTTGTCTGAAAAATCTATCTCTGTGCCTCCTCCCATCGGGGCCTGGCATAGAGCTATGCCTGGAATAGGCATTTTGGTGGGGTCTAAGGTGGAGCCATACGCTATAGGCCAGCATGCTGTAGATTGAGAAGTGAGAAGGAAGTAAACCATGAATCTAGCTCCTCATTCAAGAAAGATGCCGCTGGAGGGAAAGATGCCGCTGGAGGGAAAGAGAAGAGGATGCTAGTTGAAGAGAACTCAAGACTAAGGGGAGAGGAACTTGCTCTGGTTATACACATAGGAGATGCATGAGTCACGGCTGAGGGCAAAGAACTGGTGAGAGCCTGGTTTTCCCGACAGACCTTTTTTTTTTTTTTTCCTGGTAGGTCATGCCCAGAGCAAAAGCATGAATGACATCTCTCGTACCCCAAACACAGATCAGGTAGGAGAGTTGTACACTTGATTGTAGTAGAGTGTAGGGCAAGAAGTCTTGGGTTTCAAGGGCAGAGAGCCCTTAAGAACCTGATTTCTGCAAGGGCCCCAAAGTCTCCAGGACTAAGAATTTATATTTCAAATATTACTGGAGAGAAGTGAAGTCATAAATACAGAATGGGAATAGTTTGAAGACATAACTTGTCCAATACTTGTTACATTAGACCCTGTCACTCCATCTGTTTGACCTTCTCGCTCTGGACAGCTGATAGCCAATGGGACTGGAAATGGATCCCCCCACACACACCTCAGAAGTATGAGTAGGGAGTGACCTGGAATCATGGAAGTTTCCTGCACCCTTGGTCCAGGGCTTCATGTGTGTCAGAAAGTTAGGCAAAAGGCAAACAGATCATCAGAAAAGACCTTCTCCTCTGCCACCAAAGGCAGAGAGGGAGGTCTGGGTAGCTCACCTGTGAGTGCTTGGACATCTGCTCCAGCAAAGGAGGCTATGGGTGAGCAAGCTCAGGCCTCTTCTCTGACCCCTCAGCCCACACAGCAGTTGATGTTTTAGGGTCAAATTCATTACTAAATCTGTCCATTTACAGAGGCTTAATTGGTCTCTGGAGTTAATAACATCTCCTCATCCATAAAACTGGAAAGAATATTTGGTTATTTCAGTTTAAGAATTTCAGGGAAGGGGTTGGAGAGATGATTCAGTCATTAAAAGCACTGACTGCTCTTGCAGAGGACCCAGGTTCAATTTCTAGCACCCACATGATGGCTAACAACTGTCTGTAACTCCAGTTCCATGGGATCCAATGCTGCCTTCTGACTCTGAGGGCACTGCACTTACACACATGTAGGCAATACGCTAATGCACATGAAATTAAAAAAATATTTAAAAAAAGAATTTCAGGGAAAATTATTTCGTGTGTGTGTGTGTGTGTGTGTGTGTATGTGTATGCGTGTGTGTGTGTGTGTGTGTGTGTGTGTATGACTTTCGAGGGTGCCCCCAAAGGCCAGAAGAGGGCATCTGATCTTCTGGTGTTGAAGTTAAAGGTGGTTGTGAACCACCCCACATGGGTGCTGGGAAGTGAACCCCAGTCCTCTGCAAGAGCTCAAGTGCTATCTCTTCAGCTCCTTGGGAACCTTTTTAAAGTTAGACTTCTTTGAAGTTCGTACTCTTTGAAGTGAGAGTAAGAACATGTCAAGTTTTCTTGGGTGTGTCATGTTCCCCTCCCTGAGCAGCGGAAAAACAAATTCATGAAGAAGATCCCCAAAGACTCAGAAGCCTCCAATGTGCTTGTGGGTGAGGTGGACTTCCTGGACCAGCCTTTCATTGCATTTGTACGTCTCGTCCAGTCTGCTATGCTGGGAGGGGTGACAGAGGTGCCTGTCCCCACCAGGTGAGTCACTGAAACACCCCACCACACTTGTCCTCAGGGAGCCACTGAGGACATTTAATCAGCAAGCAGTGCTATTAGGGACTTTCCCTAAGGTAGGGATCTATTGGGAATGAGTTCAGTCCCTGAAACCCCCATGGTGAAAGGAGAGAACTGACTCCCACAAGTTGTCCTCTGACCTCCAAATGTGTGCTGTGGCTTGTGCGTGCTGACACACACAGACACAGACACAGACACACACACACACACACACACGCACATTCATGTAAGCACATTGCATGTACACACATACACATGCGAATGCACACATGGAAGGAAGGAAGGAAGGAAGGGAGGGAGGGAGGGAGGGAGAGAGGGATGAAAGAGCCAGATATTGTGGTACATATTTATTATTTCAGCACTTGGGAGATAGAGGCAGGAGAATCAGGAGTTCAAGGTCATCCTTGGCTACATGGAGAGTTTGAGCCTCAGCTATGTGAATCATGTCTCAAAAATCCAATAGTAAGGTGCTGGAGAGATGGCTCAGTGGCTAAGAGCACTTGTTCTTGCAGAGGACCTGGGTTGGGTTCCCACTACCCACATTGCCCCTAACAACCATCCATAACTCTAGTTCTAGGGGATCCAGATCCCTCTTCTGGCCTCCCTGAGCATTGCACAATACCAGTGTACCTGCGTGCATGCATGCATGTAAAACATTCATACACATAAAATAAAAATGTTAAAAATCATTTTAAAGCCAATAATAGCCAGGCATGACATCATATGTTATAAAGTTAAAAACGGGTACATTGAGTGCCAAAGAATCCTCTTCATCTGCTTCTGTTTTCTCTTCTTGCTTTCCTTCTCTGTCTTTGCAGATTTCTGTTCATACTTCTGGGACCTTCAGGGAGAGCAAAGTCCTATAATGAAATTGGCCGAGCCATTGCAACCTTAATGGTGGATGATGTAAGTGGTACCAAGAAGTATGAATACTATACTAAGCATAGCCCTTAAGTCACCAGTTATCTAGCAAGCACCTTTGAGTCCTTCTGTGCACCAAGGACTACAGGTGTGAGATTCAGGGACTAGACCCTCTCCTGTAGAACTTATCCAGTGAGAGGGACAGAGCTGCAATAGTAAAATTAACCATGTGCTGGCTGCCTGGGAAGCCAAGGTGGGCTCTACAAATAAAAAGCTAAGAGGTAGACCAGCATAAGCCCGGGACACTAGGAATCAAGGCTCAAAGAAGTTGGATGGAAGTGCAGCAACATAGGTAACACCAGAGGGATGAGCCAGAGACTACACAAAGCCTGAGGAAAGAACTTGATGTTTGGGCTGGGCATGGTGTTGCATACCTTTAATCCCAGCACTTGGGAGGCAGAGGCAAGAGGATGTCTGGCAGTTTGAGTGAATGTCAGGCCACATAGTGGGACTCTGTCTGAGAAAGTAGGGCTTGGGGGTGGGGTAAAGCCTCTGTTCATGCTCTGTCCCTGGAGTGATGGGGAGCCTGGAGGGCTTTAAACACAGACAGGTCTTAGTTTGTTCTCCATTGGTGTGACAAAACACTCTGACCAATACCAACTTGGGGAGGAAAGGGTTTATTTATCTTACATCTCCCAGGTCAGGGCAGGAACCTGGAGGTAGGAGCTAGAGCACAGACCATGGAGGAATGCTGCTTACTGGCTTGCTCCCCTGCCCCCTGCTCAGCCTGCTTTCTTATACAACACAGGCTACCTGCCCAGGGGTGGCACCACCCACAGTGGGCTGGGCCCTCCCACATCACTCATCAAGAAGATGCCCCTCAGACATGGCCACAGGCCAGTGCAATAGAGGCAATTTCCCAATTGAGGCTCCCTCAACCCAGGTGTGTCAAGTTGACACTAAAGCTGTCCAGCACAGATGGGGAGCCTGGAGGGCTTTAAACACAGACACAACCCCATTAAATCTCTTCAGCCTTTTTGCAACCTGACCCTTCTGGTGCAAAGGACTAGGAAGTAATGAATATATTTGGAGTATCTGAACTTCTAGGAGTCTGTTCTACAGAGGTTTTCTAATGTGCTTGCTCTGTGGACAACAGAAACGAGGAAGGTCAAAGAACTCAACCAAAGTCCTGCAGAAGTGTTACCTGTGGTCAGAGTCTAGGCTCAGTGTTTCCAGGTTCTTTGAATTGAAATAAAGGTACACCCAGACTGGCAAAAGTAGCTAGAGAATGTTATTCAAAGCCAAGAAATAGAACAGTTCAGATACACTCTCAGAGTGACAGCATGTCACATGAGTGAGGGTACTCGGAGATGATTATTGTTTGGGGCTTCTCTTTATAGTGGTCAAGAGACAGAGGAATTTGGTTATGAGGGGTAGTTCTCCATCTTGATTGACAGACTAAATTATATAACCATTTTTCTACTTTGCATAGCCCTTCCCATAATACAACTGATTTAAATCATATATACTCCCAGATTTGCATAGGCATAAGATGGTACATAGAAGATTCTCCCTAAAAGTTCATTTAAAGGACACAGTTCACCTTATTGCACAGGCACCCAAAACCAGTTTAGGTCAGATGGGCCTCCCTACTTTCCTACCCAGACACAAAGAGAGTGCCATTGAATAGAATCTGTCTGATGTTTGTTAAGGGGAGGAGAAACTTCTATGTAAGGCTCAATGCCCTAGATTGCTAATAGGTTGCTAGGTACATTGTTCAGAGAGGGGTGTGTGCATAGTACCTACAGGTAAAGGTCTCAGGCTGTCAAGTGCCTTATTAGAAGAGGGTGTATACATGACCCAAACCAAGTGGAGTCCCAGGTTGCAGAGCTAGTCCCTGTGCTTGCCTGCCTCAGGTATTATGGGGACCTGGGCTTCAGATTCAAGATGACTACCTGGCCTGGGCACTGGCTCTTTCCCACTGTGCCTATTTCCTGTACTATGCTATGTTCTCATACACCCAACTGAGATCAAGTTGGCATCCTGAGCAATGGTGAGAAAACAGTCCTTTGAAAGTAGCTGTGATGTGCTCCTCAGAGGGGGGAGCTGACTACTCTTTTATCCTTCCTGTCTCCTTTCCTTCCTCATTCCTCACCAGCTCTTCAGTGATGTGGCTTATAAAGCCAGGAACCGGGAAGATCTGATCGCAGGAATTGATGAATTTCTAGATGAGGTCATTGTCCTTCCCCCTGGAGAATGGGATCCGAACATCCGAATTGAACCGCCCAAAAAAGTACCCTCAGCCGACAAGAGGTATGTGGGGGAGGTGGGGGAGTGGGAGTGACAGTGGGGCCTCCACATCACCAGCATCATTTTCTCTTTGTAAGAAACCAGAAGCCAAAATGGCTGTGAACAGCTAAGTCTGGGGGCTGTCTGTGGAGGGTATTGTTGAATCACTGTATCTTCCCATCTTTAAGACACTTAGTAATTTTTGTTATGAGGGGTGCTCTTCGAGCAATTCTGGATAGTTTGGGCCCTTCCAAGCAACCGGAGCCCTGCTCTCCTTCATCCCCCTTTCTCTTCCAGGAAATCAGTCTTCTCCCTGGCAGAGCTGGGCCAGATGAATGGCTTGGTGGATGGAGGTGCTGCCTCGGCTGGAGGAGGCAGCGGTGGTGGTGGGCCTGGTGGCAGCGGGGCTCCTGAAATGGGCAGTGGTGACGAGGCTGAGATGCCAGCTGTGCACGAAATCGGGGAGGAGCTGATCTGGACTGGAAGGTGCCTGCCTCAGGCCCTTTAGAGAACCTCCTTACCATCCTGTTAGTGATCCAACCACCACTGTATCCAGCCAACCTAGGGGCGGGGCCTGACCACAGCAGTCTTTCCTCTTGACCCCTTTTTGAAACCCCAGGAGTGAAGGAACCCAAATTTTCCTCTGGACCTTCTTTGGTGCCTGTATTGGTTTCCTAGAGTGGCAGGCAGAAGCAGTGTACCACGAACAAGGTGGTATAGACTGCAGAGAGTTGTTCTCACACAGTTCTGAGGGCAAACCGTCCAAATGGAGATATCACTGGGGAGCGTGGCTGTGGTGGTTCCTACCTGTAATCCCTGCACTGGGGAGGCTGATGCAGGAGGATTGCTCCTGCCAGCCTGGGCTACCGTGTGAGACCCTGTCTCAAACCGTGCCCTCCCAAAAAAGATGCCAGTAAGCCCCACTGCTGCTGAGCCCCTGGGTAGAACCCGTCCCAGCCTCCTAGATTCTAACGGCAGCGAGAGTCCTTGATAGTCCTTGGCTTGGCAGGTGCGTCACTCCAGTTTTTGTCCGTGTTGTCACATGGCCTTCTCCCTGTGTGTCTATCTTCATGTAGCATTGCCCTGTTTGTATAAGGACCTCAGTGATACTGGATCCGAGTCCAACTAAATGACTTCATTGTAATTTGATCACATCCGAAAACTTTTTTTTAGAGAAGGTCTCATGTAGCCTAGGCTGACCTCAGACTTACTATGTAGTTGAGGATGACCTTGAACTTTTGATGCTCCTGCCCCTTCCTCCCCAGTGCTAAGAACACAGGTTTGCACCACTACGCCTGGTTTATAAACCAGGGCTTCATGCATGCATGCATGCAAGCACCCTGTCAACTGAGAGAACCCCCCACAGGCATGCCCAGAGACCCCCTCTCCCAAAGGACTCTAGATTCTGTCAAGTTGACAACACTGACCATCCCATGTTCTATAGGTGGTAGATGGTCAGGTACATGAGGACAACCACCACAGTAGACACCAGAATGCTCATTCTCTGTGAAATATTCCTATTAGAACTTTCTTCTCCCTAGCAGTCTATGTCTACCCGCTGCAGTGTGCTGACTACAAACTTTTAGGCCCATAAGAATTCATCTCTGGTCCTAAATGTTCTAGTAGAAATAACGTTCTAATTCTATCCATACTTGTCAAGTTCCCTCTTAACCCCAGACTCTGTAGGACCTTGTAGGCAGCCCTGGCCCTCCTAATGTTTGTGGAAAAAAGCAGTCCCCTGGCTGTCTCAAGCAGGTTCTTTGGTGGACTGTGTCTGGATGTCAAGAGGAAGCTGCCCTGGTTCCTAAGTGACTTCTATGATGGCTTCCATATCCAGTCCATCTCTGCCATCCTATTCATCTACCTCGGCTGTATCACCAATGCCATCACCTTTGGTGGGCTTCTCGGGGATGCCACCGACAATTATCAGGTGAGTGTGAACTGGGGACACCATGCAAACATCAATGAAATCTACTGCCACCTAGTGGAAATAAGGAGTTTCAACCCATAACCACAGCACCAAGGGTGTGTCTTATCACCTAGATTCCACTTACATAATCCTTCCAGTAAAATGATAACAAAATAAAATAAGACCAAATTTGAGGATAGTACAAATAGGTTGAACTTTCCAAAATATTTTATTATTTTTATTTTTATGTGTATGAGTGTATTGCCTGCATGTGTTTAAGTGCACCTGTGTTATGCAATGCCCATGGTCAGAAGGCATTGGATCCCCTGGAACTGTAGTTACAGACGGTTGTTAGCTGCCATGTGGGTGCTGGGAATCGAACCTAGGTCTTCCGCAAGGGCAGCTGGTGTTCTTAACCATTAAACCATCTCTCCAGCCCCAAATAGGTTCAATTTTTAAGGAAAATCACTCACATTGTTATTTGGTACTTTTCCCAGTGATATTTGAATGAACTTAATCAGCACCATTAACTGAGTTGCTAATTGGAGCCTTCTCCCTACACTTCTTAAAACCAACTTTGATGCCTTAGCTTAGTGTTATGACATTGATACAATGATAGTTGTTACTGTGACAACAACACAGACTTCCTTAGGGAAACTATCAGCTTGAGTTCTCCTTCCAAGGGTCTTCTCCAGTTGAGACCTTTGGGCAAAACCATTATGCAGCTCAGGGCAATGTCAGGCCTTGTGGCACAGACCTGTGATCTCAGCTTCTTGGGGGGCTGAGGCAAGAGGATCATAACTTCAAGGCTACAGATCGAGTTCAAGGCCAACTTGGGTAACTTAACATAATCCTATATCAAAATAAAAAATACAAGTCAGAAGCCAGGCGTGGTGGTGCACGCCTTTAGTCCCAGCACTCAGGAGGCAGAGGCAGGTGGATCTCTGTGAGTTCAAGGCCAACCTGGTCTACATAGTGAGTTCCAGGACAGCTGGGGCTACAGGGAAACCCTGTTTCAAAAAGACAAAAAACAAAACAAAAACAAAAATCTAGGCAGAGGGATCAGGAATTCAAGGCCAGCCTCTCCTATATATCAGGTTGGAAGCTAGTCTGAGACCCTGTCCCCACAAAAAATAAAGGGAAAAATAAAGGATGAAAGCACTTGCTGTACAAGCCTGATGATTTGAGTTTGCTCCCTGGCGCCCACAGTGGAAGGAGAGAACTGGCTTCAAAAGTTACCCTCTGTATTAGTCACTGTTCTGTTGCTGTGATAGAAACACTGACCAAAGCAATTTATAGAAGGAAGAGTTTATTTGAGCTTATAGCTCCAGGGGAATTACAGTCCGTCATGGCAGGGAATCATGGTGGCTGGAGGTGGCTGGAGGTGGCTGGAGGAGGAACAGAAGCTAAGCTCTCACATCATCACACAGGCACGGGAAGCAAGAGAGCGACTGGAGATCCAGCAAGGCCTAAAAACTCTCTAAGCCCACCCCCAGTGACGTGCTTCCTCCAGGATAGCCACACCTTCTAAAACCTCCCAAAACAGCCCTACCATCTAGGGACAAAATGTCCAAATACTTGGAGCCTATGGGGGACATTTTCATTCAAACCATCATACCCTCTGACTGCCACATGTATCCAATGGTACACACCTGCATTCACCACACACCCCCACAAATATTAATACATAAAAATTTTGAAATGAAAAAATTAGTAAAAGCTGAGGATATAGCTAGACCTTCCCTGTCATCACAAGGCCTTTCATTCAACCTCCAACAGTGCAAAACAAAACAAAATAGAGACTCGGAGCCCACGGAAAAGTCCATTTCCCCAGCTATGTGAGATAAATACTATCCACATTTGTGTCTCAAGCTTCAACTCCATGCCCAGCTGCCTCCTTGGGCATGTTTGTGTGCCTGCCTCTCAGGTCATGGGTGACATTGTATTCTGTCATCTTTTCTTCTGACTTGCTGCTTATAGGCCTTTCCCAGCTAGCAAGTGACATGCATTCCATCCTGCTGCCCCTGCTGGAAACTAGGCATCTTCCCAACTCTTAAATGCCAGCCCTTCCCCATGGCTTCCACCGTGTGGCCCTCCTTGTCTGCCAAGCCTTTTCTTCCTCAGCGTACTTCCCTGCCCACCTGATCTGTTTTCCACCTATTCTGATCGTCTTTGAGTTTTCTGGAGATGCTCCCTTTCTGCTCCAGCCTTTGTGTACATTTTGTGTACCTCTTTGGGGGAAGTTTTTCTTTACTTCACTTAACCCTGTTCTCCTGGACAATCCTTGCTCATGTTTTGGGTCTCAGCTTCCATGTACTTCTCTCCTGCTGTGAGCCCATTCCAGCATCACACTCCTTGGCAGTGATGCTCAAGCAGGGATAGTTCTGACCCCTGGAGACATTTGGCCGTATTCTCGATGGGTTTGGTTTTTATAACTGGGAGGAGGAAGTGACTGGGCACCTAGTGGGTGCAGGCCAGAGATGCTGCTAAACATTTCACAATGCACAGGATCCCAACTAAGGATCATTTCCTTGAAACATCAGTAACACCTAGTTGAAAGCCTCTACTGTGTGGAAACTGGCTACTTACCTCTATGCCCCACTAGTCTGAAGATGTACTATGTTGCTCACTGGCTGGTCTCCAGCGCCTAGCATAGTGCCTGGCCTATAGCAGGTAATGAATGGATTTTGTTTTGTTTTTCTTTTTCCATTTTTCATGTATGTAATATGCATGAGTATGTATATGGGTTTTGCATGTGTGTGAGAGTGCACATGCATGTGTATGCACACACGTGTGGAGGCCCGAGGCTGATGTCAGGAATCATTCTCCATTGCTCTTCCACCTTATTCATTGAGGCAGGGTCTCTCAATCAAACCCATGAATGAATGGTCTGAGGTCTTGGCACCTCACAGATGTTGGAATGAATAAATAATTATATGAATGAATGGACTGTTGTCTGGGAACAGGATGGACACAGGGACAAGTCTATCCACTGTTTTCTGTGCCCTAACATAACAAAAGGAAGATACATGATATCTTAATCCAAATGGAATTAGAGAGTGACGTTGGCCATGGTGGAAGTTGGGAATAGGATTGGGGGAGCAGAATTGGGAAGAGAGAGCCTAGAACAAAGGTGGACACTGGCCAGGGCCCTTAGAGAGATGGTTGAGTTGTAGCCTGTGTGGCAAGGCCCCTTCTGACTCCCTGAGCCTTCCACTTCTCATGATCCAGGGAGTGATGGAGAGTTTCCTGGGCACTGCCATGGCTGGCTCTTTGTTCTGCCTCTTCTCGGGACAGCCTCTCATCATCCTTAGCAGCACGGGGCCCATCCTCATCTTCGAGAAGCTCCTCTTCGATTTCAGCAAGTAGGTGCCCCTTGGTAGGCCCTATGCCTACTCTCATACTTCAGACAGTCTGCCGAGGCCAGGCCCAAAGAGAAGAGGCATCCATGAGCTGTGGATAGGTTGTGGGATGGTTCTTCCTGACTCCTGACTCATACTAGCTGCCTGCCCTGAAGTAATCTTAGTGCTAAATTAGCACAGCCCATAAGATCAAACCGGGCCATACCACACTGCTTATGAGCAGTTGTGACTGGGAAATCAGTGTGGTGAAGCCTTGGGCTAGAGCTTAGAAGGCTGCTGGCCCAGGTAGCTGTCAGCATTGCATGCTCAGCTGCCTCCTGGGTTTGGAACTAGACCCTTACTAAGGCCTCCTCCAGCCCTGTGCATCTCAAATTTCTTACTAGGCACTGAGGTCTTAGTACCTTCCTGCCACCTAGTAAGAACATTTCCTAGAATTCTCAAAAATCAGGCAACCAGGAATTATGGAGATGGCTCAGTCAGTAAAGTGCTTGCCTCGTAACCATGCGGACCTGCGTTCAACTCCCAGAACCCACAAATAAAAGCTGGTTGTGGTGGCAAATGCTGGTAATCCCAGTGCTGGGAGGTGGAGATTGGTGAGTTCCTGGGGTCACTAACCTCCTTAGAGTGTTCCAGGCTAGTGAGAAATTCTGTCTCAAAAAACAAGGTGGATAGCACCTGAAGAACATCTGATCTCCACATGTGCTTGCACACATATTAACTTGCACATACATGTATACACACAGAGATTAGGCAAACCCACCCTGCCCCCAGTCCTTAGAAGGGCATCTGTGCTACAAGAAGGAGGGGTGAGTCACACAGGGTGTGGCTGGGGAGCCAAGCTCAGGAGGGAGTCTGGACTAGAGGTTCCTTGCTTCCCTCTCCTTCCAGGGCCAATGGCCTGGACTACATGGAGTTCCGACTCTGGATTGGCCTACACTCAGCTATCCAGTGCCTTATCCTGGTGGCCGCAGATGCCAGCTTTATCATTAAATATATCACCCGCTTCACAGAAGAGGGCTTCTCCACCCTCATCAGCTTCATCTTCATCTATGATGCTATCAAGAAGATGATTAGTGCCTTCAAATACTATCCCATCAATACAGACTTCAAGTCCAACTCCATCACCACCTACAAATGCGAGTGTGTTGCTCCCGGCACAGGTGAGCCTTAACCCCTGATGTGCCCTGGGCCCCTTCCTAACCTCGCATTCCTCCTGTCACTGCTCTGTCAAATGCAGGAGGTAAGTATGTGTAGGGGGGGTTGTTAGCCAAGTGATCACTATTCCAGTGTCGCAAATGCTGAGTTTCTGTTTGTTGAGACAGGGTTTTGCTATGTAGCTCAGACTGGCCTTAAAACTCACAATGCTTCTAAATGCAGTGTCTTGAACCTAGTTTTTAGAAGGAAATTGATAGACCAATAGCCCTAATAAAAATACCACCCAGTGTTATAATCAGGCTTCAGGGATACCCCGAGAAGGAGCAAGGCATGATTCATCACAGTATGGGGTGGTGTGGAGGTCACTCAAGTCAGGGGTAGATCTGATGGTACCTAAGCTCCTCCCAGTGCCATCAGTGCATGACAACTCTCAACACATCACTACCACAGTGGTCATAAACTTTAAAAGGTCATGACCTTAAAACTACTCCAGAGGGATAAACATCCCTATAAACAGGTTGGAGGGCTTATCAATCACACTATTGGAAGAACAGTTGGAAAAAGTTGGGGTCATTCAGCCTCCTAAGTGAATGAGAGATAACAAGAGGACTATTATTTCCTGAGGGACCACATCCACCCTCTGTAGTCACAGAATGTGGAACACAGTAAGTTCCAGGAAACCAGATGCTGCTGAGTTCAGGGTAGAATTTACAGTGGGGAGAGTTGCCATCTTGGGAGGCATCCTTAGTTGGTAGCCACTTGCTTGGACTCTCTGGATATCCATGTGCCAAAGGTGTTGAAAGAACTCCAACACTAAGTGGGAGACCTAAGCAAATGGCTAGCCTGATTGTAAATTCTCAGTGCAGTTCATGTAGTGTTACTTCACCTGGAAAATTAAGACCTCTATGGAGTCTGATCTCTTCAACTCCTTCACAACCATTACTTGCCCCTAAGACCTATCAACGGGAGGTACTTGGAGGGCCTTGAAGAATGCAGAGCAGGAACAGGAGACCAACTCATACATCTCCAAGCACCACCACCAGGCTGGCTTGACAGAAAGTGAACTAAGGTTGAGGCCACCCAAGGTCACACTAAACCCCAGATTTCCTAGCTGTCAAAGACTGTTAACAGTGTTGATATGAAATTCTAGCAAGGTTTTCAAGTCTATGCCCACATTGGGTTAGAGGAAGTAAGTAGATGTTGGGTTGTTCAATCCCTTACTGTATTGCTTAATGATAAAAAAAATCAATCATGTCAGCTCAAAATATATTTGTTGCACAAGTTTGAGAGTCCTATTTTAGCCTGTGTGGATGATAAAGATGCCCTACCTATAAGAAGGTTAGTGCTGCTTACATCCTCACTCCCTGTACTGATTTTGTAAAGAAGCCTAGACTTAATTTCTCTCTCTCTCTCTCTCTCTCTCTCTCTCTCTCTCTCTCTCTCCTCTCTCATCTTTCTCTCTCTTCTATTACTAACTTTGAATTATTCCATTAAAATTACCAATAGGTGGAGTTACCCTTTGTCAGGGTCCCTGCCCAGAGCTCTAAGGCAATCCTACTACAGGCCCTTTTTATTCTGCCTGAGAGAGAATCCTACCATAGGAGCCAAGCCTGTTTTTGCTGTGGGCACTCCCAGACTCTCAGTCCACTGCACTGAGAGCATGTGTTCTTGTCTCTTTTTAGAAACAGCCCAAATCATGGGGTCGTATGAGGAACTCTGTCTACTTTGTGAACCATCTGTCCACCTAAGAGTGCCCTATGAACAGGGGATGTCAGAGCATACAGAGTGGCCTCAAAGGGCATAATGGACAGCATGTTTCTGAATTGCTTGCCTGGTCAAGAGCTTGATTATCTAGAACCATCTTCATGGTCCCAAGCCCAGCAGCATCAGTACCAACTGGGAACTTACCAGAAATGCAAAATTCTAGACTCTAGGAATCTAGAAACTTTGGAGGTAGAGTTCAACCATCTGGATATGAATTCTCCTTCCAGGGCTTCTGATGCCCTCTCAAGTTTGAGAACTTCGGCTTTATTGACCTATTTATTAGTAACACTGAGCCATGATTAGCTCCTAGCCCCAGCAAGATTATTTTACAGAGTAATAAAGGAGCCCAAGTTAGTTTTGATTAGAGAATTTGAAATGGAAAGCTCTAGACATTGAGCAGACTGGGGTAGCAGGGGAGCTAATGGTGTTTTCTTCCTGGTTCATGGGCCACCTACTGACTAACTGCTCCATTTCCCTAGTTTCACTGCAAAGCCCAGTCTAACTATGGCACACCATTAGTCTTTCTCAGTCTTCTTCACACAAGCTTGTTGGGGACACTCTTTTTGTTTAATCTTGTTCCCATGGTAACTGATTTGTATTCTATTTATGGATGCTGCAAATGCTGATTTGGCTGCTCTCAACCATAAGTGAGTACCACTTTCTAGACACTAGAATTATACAATATTTGATACTTGGACCCTTTCTAGAATTTTCTATCTTTGTTAAGGTTTCAGGTAAGCTTTATGAAGTTCTTGGTAAAAAGAATTTATAAGCCTAAATAGAAAACATCAGGATGTCTGGCCTGAAAACATTGGATGAAAACGTTGAATTTTGGGAAACTGAATTTCCCAGGCTTGGGTGTTAGCAGAGAGCCCCAAGTCGGACTTCTCTAGCTTCTTTGTCCCTCTCAACATCGCATTTAATTGTGAGGAGAGGCAAAAGATGTCCCTGACTTGGCATAAGTGAGACTTTTTCTAGGACAATTCCTCCAAACCTGTGGATTTGTAGCACTCCTGTGACTGTTCTGCCCTAGACCAACAATGAGATCCTTTAGTCACCCAGTTCAGCTGGTCCAGAAGTGACCAACTTCATATCCAACCCTGTGGACAGCTTGCTAGAAGCTGGGGGAAGCCTTGAGATTAGGCTTTTTTTTTTTTTTCCCTCTAGGTGTCTAACCAAAGGTGGGCAGCCAACAGGAGCCAAATGGGGCTTACATAGCACTTCAGATTACAGCCAGGGACTGCTGCTGGCCCCCAGACTTGCCATGGAGGACCTGCTTGGAGGAGGAAGGGAAGAACTTGCTCTCCTCTTTACCCTTGCGGACCAGAGGAGGAGAGGGGGCAAGGAGTGATCCCAAAGCCTGCCTTTGTGATGTGTGGCCACGTCCCCTGGGGGACCTGCCTATGGGTGATAGGCCATTCTTACCAAAAGGAACAAGGGAGGCCAGATAGAGTAGAAGGGGGAGTGGAAAATAGAAGGCAAGTTCCTTTACCTTTTCTCTCAGACCTGAAGAGACCATTAGATGCTCCACTTATATTAGGGAGTCTAAGGCCGTGGAAGGGGAGTGCTAAGCATGGGACAGAGTGAACAGCTTTTGGGTTCCCGTTTCTCCTTCAGGTCCTAGACGAGGGTTACAGTTTCCTTGGCTTGCATTGAAGGGGTGGATTAGACAGGATAACATCAAAGCAAACTCATTCTTACATGTCTAGCTGATCTTTATAAAACACTCATTAGCCTGGCATGGTGGCACACACCTTTAATCCTTGCACTCAGGAGGCAGAGGCAGGTGGATCTCTCTGTATAAGATCTAGATCAGCCTAGTCTATCTACCTAGGAAGTTCCCAGACCCTGTCTCAAAATACAAACAGACAAAGCACACACGGAGAGGGGTGGGATAGAAGTGTTCATAGAGGAGAGCAGGGTAGGGAAACTCACTGGGCAGAGATGGGAGGTTTATAGTTTCTCTGGCAGTCAGCCTGGGATGGGATTATGGCTCTAAGCATGAGCTATGAGACCTATGGACAAGTTAATGTTCGGAGTCTCAATTAAATGGGGACACTTTGTAGAGATTTTGGAAACTTAACAAATGAACAGTTGTAAGAATTTGGCATAGTGTACAACATGGAATTAGCTCTTTGTAAAAAGTCTGACAGCACAGAGGTGAGTCTAGTGTCCAGAAGAGACTCACAAGATGCATTCTTTGCCCGCTTCTCTCTGCACCAGATTCCTCATTCGAGTTCTTAGAAGTAGCTGTGGGCCTCAGGATGAAGCTGTTCCACTCTGGCCCTGTGGCTCCCACTCCCTCCCTTGCCCTTCATGAGAACTGATAGGGAAGGTGAAGTCAGAAAGAGAGAACCAGAGGGTGATGGGAAATGGTGGGAGCCCCTGGGAACTGCAGGCTGCCCCTGAGTAGTTGCTGACACTGCCCCATTTCCTGTGCTCCTCTACAGTGAATACAACTAATGCTTCAGCCCTGCCGACACCAAACACCAACGCTTCTCTGGTAAGTCCTTTCCTATAGAGCAGACTCTTTTGTGTTTGCTTGTAGGGGGTAGTGAGGAGAGACTCAAGAAACAGGCCAACTTGTGGCAACCCAGAAGTCAACCCCAGGAGTACCTGGGCTCTGTGAATGATGCTTTTAAGTTTATACCTATAAGCATCCATCCTAAACCGCCCCTCCATCTGTGAAGTCCCTGTGCAGAAATGTGATTCACACATACCCAGGGGACGAAAATGATAAACAGAGAAGCACACATAACACAAGGCTGTAGGCCTTGTCCCTCTAGTCTCGCTGTCTAGAACGCCCCCCCCCCCATTTCCACCCAACTCCCAGCCCCAGAATTCTGCTTATTAGGTTCTCCCTCCAATGAATTCCACCTGTCCTTTGTACCTCCCTAGTCTCCAGGGACCCCACTGTGTCTGCCTTTTCCAATAATGATAAATGGTGCCCTTCAGGTTGTGTACCAGCCTAAGTAGGTCTAAGGGTAAGAAATTTAAATCCTGGTGAAGAGCAGCACCTGGGAAATCTTGAGTGTGCCTAAGGCTCTTAAGTTGCCCTTGCATAGGCAGTGGATAGCTCAGCCTATACCCATCTCAGTTGGCAATGTAAAAACTTCAAATATAAGACTTTCAGAAGAACAGAACCAGGCAGTGCCTACCTCTCAATACCTATTACGTGCTAGAATGCTATGTGCACTGAGGGCTAAGAAGACATCTAAGAAATCAATGTATAAGCTGAGTATAGTGGCACATGCCTATAATTCCAGCACTTGGGAGGTGGAGGCAGGAGGATCTGGAGTTCAGGTCATCCTCAGCTATATATTGAGTTCAAGGCCAGCCTGGACTCCTCCAGACCTTGTCTCATCCCCTCACCCCCTAAAAAAAGAAAGAAAAAAAAATCAACACAGGGCTGGGATGTAGCTCAGATTTATAGAGCACTCGTCTAGCACACATGAGACCCTGGGTTCATTCACTAGCACTGTGAAAAAGAAAAAGTTAACATGGCCCTTGTCTTCAGATTTGCTTTTGATATGCTTACAGATTACAGAGATGGACTGAAAGTTACGGGATACCCAAACAGAACATGCCATTCATCCAATATAGGCTCCACATATGCTTTCAATCTTGGAGGCAGGAAGAGAGGCTGACTGCAGAGGCCAGGGAGAGCCTTGTGGGCAAAGTAGATGCTCAAGGCTTGGAGAAAGGTGGTTCATAGAGAAAGGCACATTCCATGCCAATGGCACATCATACATAGGCTGAGGTTCACAGAGGGAGATGCACAAAACCTGCTCAGACAACAGTGAGTACAGCAAGAGGGGTGACATGGAAGACTAAACAGGAAAAGCAGAGACAAACTGGGAAAGACATTTGGGCACCCTGGTGGGAAGTAGAATGGAACGTGCATAGAATATTTGAAAATGCTCAGTCAGCTGGCATTTAGCTGCTAGGGCCCAGAGAACAAGTACTCAGTATAGGACAGCTGCACTTCAGAAAGAATGGTATCTGAGCTCCTCTCTCATATCTGTGGGCTGTGGCAGCAACACTTTTAGTTCCCATGAACTTTTAGTTCTGTAGGGTGGCAGGCTGGTTTCACCTGGACTCAGTCACATGGCCGACTGAGCTGTCTGCTGGGAACTGGCCTCAGATGGACCAGCTGGAATGGTTTGGCCTGTGTCTTCACCTAGATAGCAGAGCAGTCTCAAGTTTCTAAAAGTATGCAGACAGAGGCTGCAAGGCCTCTTGATCTGGCTCAAAGTAATCCCTCTGTCCTAGTTTCCTTTCCAGTTGTTGTGATCAAATACCCTGACAAAAACAACTTTAAGGGAGAAAGGGTTTATCTGGCTCACAATGCCATCACTATGGGAAGTCAAGATGACAGGAACTTGAAGCAGCTAGTCACATCCACAGTCTTGAGTGGAGAGAGTGGGTGCTTGCATGGCTTTCATGATTAGTTGGTGCTCTCCTCCCTTGTACAGTCCAGGGCCCCTTCCTGCCAAGGGAATGGTGCTCCCACAAGTGGGCTGAGTCTCCCCACATCAATTAATTCCCTCAAGGCAATCTGCCACAGACATGCCCACAGACCAACCGATCTAGAAAATTCTTCATTAAGACTCTCTTCCTACGTGATTCTAGACTGTGTCAAGTTGGCAATTAAAACTAACCATCACACACACACACACACACACACACACACAAACACATATACACATGCACACACACACACACAATTAGCCCAGTTTCAGAGGAGTGAGAAAATAGACTTCAGTATTACTGGGAAGGTGTATCAATGTCACATTGTTAAGAACCATATACACAGGAAGAAATGGGTCATTGGGGACTGTTATTATGGCAAACCATCACACTTGTCTTAATCCAAACATTCAGAGTAGTTCCTTACAAGGATCTGTTTGCTTTGCTGGGCAGCTATTTCTAAACACTTGCATATTAATTTGCAAAGTTGGAGAGATGGCTCAGTGGGCACTGATTGCTCTTGCAGAGGACCCAGGTTTGGTTCCCAGCACCCACATTAGGCTGCTCACAACCACCTTTAACTCCAACTCCAAGGGATGCAATACCCTTTTGTGGCTTCCAAAGGTACCTCCACGTGTGTGCACATACAAACACATAGACATGTACATATATATACATAATTAAAATCTTCAAAAGTATGAATTAAAATTTATTATAATTTCCTTTTCTCCCTCCTTTAAAAAATTTTATTATTATTATCATTTTTTGGTCTTTTTGAGACAATGTTTCCCTGTAGCCCCAGCTATCCTGGAACTCACTATGTAGACCAGGCTGGCCTTGAACTCAGAGATCCGCCTGCCTCTGCCTCCCGAGTGCTGTGATTAAAGGCATGAGCCACCACACCTGGCTTATTATTTTTATGTGTATGAGTGTCATGCCTGCATGTATGTAAGTGTACCCATGTCATGCAATTCCCATGGAGATCAAAAGAGGGTGCTGGATTCCCCTGGAACTAGAGTTACAGATGGTTGTTAGTCACCATATGGTTGCTAGGAATCAAACCTGGGTCCTCTGCAAGAGCAGCCAGTGCTCTTAACCACTGAGCCATCTCTCCATCCCCTCTCCCACCTTTTATTACTCTTGGGATATATAAATGTAGATCCTTTGATACCCACAGGGGAGTGGCTCCAGGACCCCCTAGGGATGGTATATTTATATACCTATACACTCTTTAAAATGATGTATTTGAATCTAGCCTATATTTTTCTTTTTTTTTTTGGTCTTTTGAGACAGGGTCTCCCTGTAGCCCCAGCTGTCCTGGAACTCACTATGTAGACCAGGCTGGCCTTGAACTCACAGAGATCCACCTGCCTCTGCCTCCTAAGTGCTGGGATTAAAGGTATACGCCACCACGCCCTGGATTTTTTTTTTTTTTTTTTTTTGAGACAGGCTGTCACTATGTAGCTCCAGCCGACCTGGAACTTGCTATGTAGACCAGGCTAGCCTCAAACTCACAGAGATCTGCCTGTCTCTGTCTGGGATCTGGAGAGATGGCTCAGAGGTTAAGAGCACTACCTGCTCTTGCAGAAAACCTAGGTTCAAATCCCAGCACCCACATATCAGCTAACAAGGGTTCATAACTCCAGTTCTAGGGGATCCAACAGCCTCTTCTGTCCTCCACGGGTAATGTACAACACGGGTGCACTTACATACATTCAGGTATAACACTTATACGCATAAAATGAAAACAAATAAATAAAAAATTGATCTGCAATTGATTAAATTCACATATGTGACATCCATGACTACAAAGGATGTAAATTTCATATTTTTATATAAAATTTCACTGTTTCATATTTCCTGAATTTTAGCATCTGAAACACGAGGGTTAAGGAAGTGGCTGAAATGACCCAAGAGGAAACTGATGAGAGTATGCTTGGGAAGGAACAGAGAGGCTTTAGTGAGACTCCAGGAAAGCCAGAACCAGGGTGGGTGGCCTGGGGCAGGAGGCCTACTGAAGGAGAGAGCATCTCCTTCCTGCTCTCTTCCTCCCTGCTGGCACAGTCACACATCCTAGAACATGTTGAAGAAACTTGTATCCTCTCCCAGTCTCTCTGGGGAACTGCCTCCTTGTTCCCTGAACCAGCCTGCCCCCAGGAACAGTACTCTGTTACTGAGGGCACCATGTGAACAGGCAGATTGGGAACCTCAGAGGGCTGGTGGGTGTGGGGGCTTCTAAGACTGCAGGGAGAAGGACACATGGTCTACCAGGAGGGTCCTGACCCTTTTCTCCTGTGCTTGGTCTCCAAGTCCAATCCCCTTAACCTCACAGCGTTGGATTGGTCCCTGCTGAGCAAGAAAGAGTGTCTGAGCTACGGCGGGCGCCTGCTTGGGAACTCCTGCCAGTTCATTCCAGACCTGGCACTCATGTCCTTCATCCTTTTCTTCGGGACATACTCCATGACCTTGACTCTGAAGAAATTCAAATTCAGCCGCTATTTTCCTACCAAGGTAAGCACCCCACACACATAGGCTGGAGCTGTTAAGGAAGGCTCAGGCCTTCAGGATGGCCTGATAATCACTGATCTCCGCAGGCCTTTACATGTGCATATGCACATACACACACACACACACACACACACACACACACACACACACATACACACACACATACACACACACATACACACACACATACACACACACATACACACACACATACACACACACATACACACACACATACACACACACATACACACACACATACACACACACATACACACACACATACACACACACATACACACACACATACACACACACATACACACACACATACACACACACACACACAATGTAATTTAGAAAAAAGAGGAAAGCTCCCACTGAGCCTCCCCAGAGGGCTCTGTCCTCTGGCAGAATACAGGGCAGACACCAATGAGGCACTAGCCTATGGAAGTTTTACAGATTAAGAGCACAGATTTTTCCCAGCCCAGTGTTACAGGCTTGTAATCCCAGCTTCTTGGATACTGAGACAGGAGGATCACAAATTCAAAGCCAGCCAGGCAACATATGCCCTGTCTCCAAATAAAACAAAGGGGTTGTTGAGGTGGCTCAGCGGTTAAAAGCACTTGTTGATCTTCCAGAAGACCTGAGTTTAGTTCCTTGTACCCACATCCAGTGGCCTACAACCACCTGTAACTCCAGCTCCAGGAAATCCAACACCCTTTTCTGGCCTCCATATATGACATCAATTCACACAGACACCCAGATACATAAATAAAAATAATAAATACAAATCTTTTAAAAATAATTTTTGAGACAGGGTCTCATTATATAACTCTGTCTGCCCTAGAACTTGCTATGTAGACTAGGCTGGCCTTGAACTCACAGAGATGGGCCTACCTCTGCCTCCTGAGTGTTGTGATTAAAGGCATGTGCTACTTTGCCCAGCCTAAATCTGTAAAAAAATTTTAAAAAGAGGGCTAGGGCTAGCTTGGTGTCTGAGTGCTTGTCTAGCACGCAGGAGGTCCTCAATTGAAAAACAAACAGCAAACGAAACCCCCCCACAAACAACCAGATTTTGGACTTAGGAAGGACTAGTTTCCCTTGTCAAATCCCCTCGACAGCACTTGGTGTTTTCAGACTTTTGTCTTTGGCCTTTGTATGCAGTGTTTGTGTTTCTAGAATTTTCATTCCCTTGATGACTGATGAGCTGAAAATTTTACCATAGAAATGTTCTGTTTAACCCTGTCACACACTTTCTATTGGTTCGTCTTTTTTCCTGTGTGACATGTACTCTCTTTTGTGCGAGCTATGTGTTACAAACATCTTTTCCTGTTTTGTTAATCAGTCTTTTGACTTTCTTAAAAAAAATTTTTTTATGCTGGATATGGTTGCGCATGTCTTTAATCCCAGTGCTTAGGAGGCAGAGGCAGGCGAATCTCTGGGAGATCGAAGCCAGCCTGGTCTACATAGTGAGTTCCAGGCCCGTTGGGGCTACAGGGAGACCTTGTCTCAAAAAGACAAAAAATAAACAAAACACAAAAACCTTTTTTATTTTTTACTATTTATTTATTTACTTATTTATTGGGAAGGGGGCATATGTGCCATGATGCATGTATGGAAGTCAGAGGACAACTTGCAGGAGTCAGTCCTTTCCTTCCACCCTGGGGGTCCAGGGGATTGAACTCAGGTTATGAGGCTTGGCAAGTTCCTTTACCCACTAAGCCTTCTTACTGGCTCTACTTTGACTTTCTTAGTGGGATCTGTTGATTAACAAAGCTTCTTGGTTTTAATGTAATTAAATTCAGTATCATTTTTTTAAAGGAAAATATTGAATAGAGTTTTTTTTGTGTCACCATCTAAAAGCATTATCACTTTTCTTTCGTGTTAGTTCTGCAATCCATGAGAACTGACTGTGATGTGCAATGTGCGATAGTGTTTCTTTGTGGTTTTGTACAAAGAGCTGCTTGCTCCAGTGCTTTTTAAAAGACCACTGTTTCTCTATGGTTCTGTGAAGCAGCCTTTGCCATGTCTCAAAGGCTCCTACATGACAGGATCCCTTTCTCATTTTTGCTTTTGGTTTTTTTGTTTGTTTGTTTGTTTTTTTTTTTTTTTGGTCTTTTTGAGACAGGGTCTCTCTGTAGCCCCAGCTGGCCTGGAACTCACTATGTAGGCCAGGCTGGCATTGACCTCACAGAGATCCACCTGCCTCTGCCTCCCGAGTACACCACCACACCCGGCTTTTTTTTTTTTTTTTTTTAATTCCATTTCACTTGGCTTATTTATACATACTAGCACCACAGTCTTCTTTTTTCTTTTTTGAGACAGGGTCTTCCTAGAGCTCACTATGGAGACCAGACTGGCCTCGAACTCACAGAGATCCACCTGCCTCTGCTCCCAAGTGCTGGGATTAAAGGCATTCACCACCATGCCCAGCCTCACAGTCTTCAATTCTATCCTATAGACCAAAGTTTAGAGTGATTTTAAATTTCATCAAAATTAGGGACAGGCAAGATGGGTCAGTGGGTAAAAGTGCTTTCCACCAAGGCTAACAACCTGAGTTCAATACCTAGGACCCACATAGTAGGAGAGAATTGACTCCTGAAAGTTGTCCTCTGATCTCTACACAAATGCACGATGCCATCTGTACATGTGTACACACATACACACACACGCGCATGCGAAAAAAATAAAATGTAATTTTTTTTTAAAAGAAAATAAATTTTTGTTGTCTTCTGGAATTTGGTGTTGCAGGGAAGAATGAGGCCGCACTGCTTCACACCCATGAGGTTGGTGTGTATATTTGTCTGGGACACCAGGTATTGGAGAGGAAAAGCAGGAGGCCCAAGGTTGATGTCAGGAAGCAGCCTCGATTGCTCTTCTGCCTTATTCTTTGAGTCTCTTCACTCACAAATGTGCCCACATACGTGCAAAATATGCATATACACAAAACACCTCAGCCACTGGGTGAGAAAAGGCAGCAGCAACGGGGAATTTATTTACTTATTATTTATTTGTTTATTTTTGAGACAGAGTCTCACTATGTAACTCTGGCTGGCCTCGAACTCAGAGATCTGCCCACTTCTGCTTCCTGAGTGCTAAGATTAAAGGCGTATACCATCACCCCCAGAAGAATTTTCACTTCTTAAGGTGGAAGAGAGCCCAGAGCTGTGTATTGCTTCTTTGTATTAGGTTAGACCATGTGAAATTGCCTATATTTGACAAATGGCAAATTCATGTAGTTCAACTTAAAAGTTGTTTGATCTGGATGCTAGAAAGATTATAAGAAGAATAGTGCATGCCTCTTGATTGTGCTGCAACCAACATTTATGTTTCTCATCTTTAAAATCCACTTCTAGATAAAATGCATGAGCTGTGCTTACAGAACAGGGTGAGAGCACTCTTGCTTTGTTAATTAAAGATCAAAGTGGAGGTTTCACAGGTGAAAGAGGGAAGGAGTGAGGTGGTGGTGAGGACAGGGCCAGCAATCACCACCTACTATGATGGAGATGAAGAGGCACTGCTAAAAATTATGGAAGTGGGGATAAACTCATAGAAGGAATTTAAAAATAACATTAAAGATTTGGGATGAGAAAAGAGAAGAAGGGGCAGTATAAGTAAATCTAAACCCTCATCCATAGATAATGCTTCTAATCAGTAAATCAAAACATGAAGGCTTGGCTAGATGGCTCAGTAGGTAAAGGCGCTTGCCACCCAAGCCTGACAACCTGACTTCAATCCCTCAGAACCCACATAAAGGTGGAAGGAGAAAATTGATTCCACAAAGTTGTTCCCTGACCTCCACATGCACATTGAGGCATGAACGGCACCCCTACATCATGCACACACACCCCAAAATAATAATAAATGAATAAATAAATTTTAAAAATATGAAGCTATAAGCATGTTAACTGACATGAAAGAATCCTCGAGAACTAAAGCCAAGCATGGTTAGAGCTGGAAGGAGGATTTGTTGAGGAAAGGTGAGGTGGGGTCTGTGCGTTTACTGTCTTTTTATACTATGTGAATTTTTAACCAGTTACATGTTATTTTAATAACAAACTGGGAAGGGAAGAGTGCAGCAGACAAAGTCAGGGTGCTGTGCCTGCCTCTGCCCTTGAAGTGGTTTTTGTAACCAAAGTACAGGAGCTCATACTGCTTGTCACTTCAGGAGCTGGTGATCAGAGACAGGAGAAACTGAATCTTAAAACAGGGCCAGCAACCTGAGAAGGCAGTGAATTAGCTTCCTGAAACTGACTTCTGTCTCATCTCCAGCCAGCTGATTATGCAGGGAAGACAGGATCTGGGTGGAGGCAGTCCATTCTGGAGCTCAGTCCTGCCCTCTGCTCAGGTGTCAGCACCTTTCTGAAACATGTGATGTCCATCATCATCCTTTGTACTCTCCCCCATTCTGTAATGATTGGACTCAGGCACTCCTTGAAACACTGAGTCATTAGTTTCTGATGCTACCAAACTTGTACTTCTTCAGGGGCATCTGGACTGGTAGGAGGTGTTTATACTCAAGACAGTTAGTGTGTGCACTAAGTTAGTGACAACATGCACTAATAGCTTCCTTTCTGTCACATAGGGTACAAGTGTCTTTATAATGGGAAAAGTGCCCCATCTGTTGCTCCTATCCTCTATCACTTTCCCTAAAAAGAAATAAAGAAGACAGCAGAGGGCTGGAGAGATGGCTCAGCGGTTAAGAGCACTGGTTGCTCTTGCAAAGGACCTGGGTTCAGTTCCCAGCACCCACGTGGTGGCTAATAACCATTAGTAACTCCAGTTCCCAGGAGATTTAATACCCTCTTGTGGCCTCCACGGGCATTGCACACATGGGTGCACATACATACTTGTGGACAAAACACTCGTATACATAAAATGTATCAATCAGGACAAGAAGTTGAGTAGGGTGGGACATGGAAGGAGTTTGAGGGAGACTGGAAGGCATGGATATCATGCAAATACAACACAAATACAAATGGTAAAGAGGGTATTCACAATGACATTCTCAAAAATAAAGTTTTGGGTGTTTTTTTCTTCTTTTTGTTGAATTTTTGTGCCTTTCATATAACACATCTTGATTATATTTAGACCTCCTCCCCTATCTGCACCCCCTCCACAGCTCCCCCTCCCACCAGATTTCATGAATTCTTTCATAAGGCCTATTCTGTCAAGTTTGTTTCCCCAGATGTTCCTTGGTGTGAGTTCATCCAGTGGAGCCTGATAAGCCTTTCTAGTGTCACTTCCTTAGAGAAGACTAACTCTCCCTCACCTGGTAATGATCAGTTGCCAAGAGTTTGTCAGCTAAGGTTGGAACTTCTTATCCATTTCCCCAGTTCTATGCTGGGTTTTTGTCCAGTTTGAGTTTGAATGGATCTTGTGCATGCTGTCACCATTGCTCTAAGTTCATTGAGCAAGTTTCCAGAAGCTTGGAAAACTCGTTTCCTTGTGGTCATTCACCCACTACCCTTGGTTCTTACAGTCTCTCTGCCCCCTCTGCTGCAATGGTCCCTGAGCCCTGAGTGGCAGAGGTTTAATATAGGAGTCCTATTCAGGGACACACACTCTTCAGTCCCTTATTCTCTACAGTTTGGCAAGTTGTGGCTTTCTGTGTTATTACCATCTGTTCATGATGAAGCTTCACTGGTGAGAGTTGAGAGATGCATTAATAAACTTTCTGCCCCCTGTTCTGCTGTGTTCTGTGAGTCTTAACTGTAGAGGTTCCATTGTAGATGTATCACTTAGGGCTGGGCATCTCACAGACACTTACGCTCTGTGTCTGACCAGTTGTGAAACTCTGTAATGGGCTCCATCTGTTGCAAAAAGAAGCTCTTTGATGAGTGGTAAAAGGTATACTTGTCTGTAAAAAATAAGGATGTATATTTAGCATACAGTAAGAAATTATGGTCTAGGAATATGACAGATTTAGGGTTTTTCTTTAGGATCTATGACCTTTCCAGCCATATGTATTTGGCTATGTTTACAGTACCGCACATTAGTTCCCTCCTATTGAGTGGGCCTTAAATCCAATTAGATAGCTGTTGATTACCCCCAAGATAGAAGTGCCACTACTGCACCAGTCATTAATAACCAGTTGCAGTTATTAGGCTTTACAGATGGGTTGGATCATTGATTAATTTTCTCCCTTAGTTGCTTGCAGAGTGTCCTTTGATACATTTACCTCTGGTTTTACATACCACCTAAGCATTATTTCTCTCTCCTGTCTCTCCTTGTATAACTCTTCCTCCCCCCTTCCCAGTTAAATATCCACATTTTCCCCATTTGTCCCTCAATAACACCTATCTCCTACTATCCCCCCCAATACTCTTCTTCCCCTTTAGCCCCATAGTTCCTTTCCATTTTTCTGACTCATGCAATTACATCAGGATATATACTCACATCTAAGGATTTGGAGCTAAGATCTACAAATGAAAGAGAACATATGCCACTTGTTTCTCTGAGTCTGTGTTACTTCATTTAGTTCAACAGTTTCTAGTTCCATCCATTTACCTGAAAATTTCATGATTTTATCTTTCTTTACTGCTTAGTAGAACTCCATTGTATAAATATAACACATTTTCTTTATCCACTCATCAATTGAAGGATATTTAGGTTGTTTCCATTTCTTAGCTATTGTGAAAAAAGCAGCAACAAACATGGCTGTACAAGTATCTCTGCAGTAGGATGAGTCTTTTGGGTATATGCCAAGGAGTGGTATAACCAAACCATATAGTAGATTTATTTTCAGTTTTTCAAAGAGTTCTCCACACTGCTTTCCATAATGGTTGCACCAGTTTGCAATCCCACCAGCGGTAATTGAGGGCTCCTCTTTCTGCACATTCTTGCCGGCATTTGGTATCATTTGTTCCCTTGCTCTTAGTTATTCTAACTAGGGTAAGATGAAATCTTAAAGTGGTTTCAATTTGCATTTCCCTAATTACTAAGGATATTGAGCACTTTTTAAGGTGTATCTTAGCCTTTTTTTTTTTTTCTTCTTTTGAGAACTCTCTGTTCAGATCCATAGTATATCTTTCAACTGGGTCATTTGTTTTCTTGATTTTTTTTTTTTAGTTCTTTGTATATTCTGGATATTAATCCTCTTTCAGATGTGCTGCTGGTGAAGATTTTCTCTCACTCCGTGGGCTTCCTCTTCACCCAATTAGTTGTTTCCTTTGCTGTACAGAAGCTTTTTTTCATTTAATGAGATCTTACTTGTTAATTGTTGACCTCTTGATTCCTGAGCAACTGAAGTCCAATTTAGAAAGTCCTTTTCTGCACCTATATCTTATAGAGTACTGTGTATGTTTTCTTCTTTTTTAAAAAAAATTTATTTATTATTTTTATCTTATGTGTATGAGTGTATTTCCTGCATGTATGTGAGTGCACTCGTGTTGTGCTATTCACAGAGGTCAGAAGAGGGCTTCGGATTCCCCTGGAACTGGAGTTAAGGACGGGTCGTAGCCGCCATGTCAGTGCTCTTAACCGCTGAGCCATCTCTTCAGCCCTGTATGTTTTCTTCTAATGCTTTCAGTGTTTCAGGTTTCACATTAAGGTCTTTGATCCATTGAGAGTTGACTTTTGTGCAGGATGATAGACGGGTCTAATTCCATACTTCTACACGTGGAGATCCAGCTTTGCCAACACCATTTGTTAAAGACAAGAATTGTTGCCAGCACGTTTCCTCCAGTGTGAGTTCTTAACACCTTTGTTGAGTATCAGGTAGCTGAAATTACATTCACTTATGTTTGGATCTTCTATTTTGTTCCATTAGCTACATTTCTGCTTTTATGCCAGTACCATGCAGTCTTTATGACTATAGCTCTGTAATATAGTTTGAGATCTGGTATGGTAACTCCCCCAGCATTGCTCTTTTTGCTTAGGATTGCTTTGGCTATCCAGGATCTTTTGTGATTCCCTATGAATGGTAGAATGATTTGTTCCTAATAAAAATAAAAAGCTCAAAAAATATTTTAAAGGAGAGGGCAGGTAGACAACTGGTTGAGAAAGGGCAGGAGGTCAGATCCAGATCCTAGCATAGGACAGGTCTCCTGCAAACAGAAAGACTAGAGACTCTTAGCCAACAGAAGGTCTGGGAGTATTCAGAGGTCCTCCATGAAATAGAGGGTCCTCCCTCCAAGTTCAGACAGGATGTAAGGCCTGTCATGTTTCAAGGAGCTAGGGTCTCCTTCTGGGTTCTACTCACCATGTTTGCTGGGTGGCCAAGTTCAGTCTGTGTAGTGGAACATGCCTTCCTCAAGGGCTGCAACAGCCACATGGACCATAACTCCCACTCTGACCACTGCATCACAAGCACTTGAAACCGCCATCACTCACTTGTACCTTCAAGGTGGGTTTACCACTACCTCCATCTTGCAGAACAGGAAACAGTCTTGGAGAGATGGCAGACTTCCCCAAGGTCGCTGAGCCAGGCTTTGCTCCCGGCCCCGCTGCCTTCAGCCTGAGGACCGGGCCCCCCAGCGGGCCAGGTACTAGGCTCACTTCCTCCTCTTCTTTCTGCAGGTCCGGGCCCTGGTTGCTGACTTCTCCATCATTTTCTCCATCCTGCTATTCTGTGGAATTGATGCATGTTTCGGCCTAGAGACCCCCAAGCTGCACGTGCCCAGTGTCATCAAGGTTTGCCACTTGCCCCTGCCCTGGACATTCACTCTGCCTCCACTTCCTTTCCCTTCTGCACTTGGTCAACATTCTTAGCCAGGAGACCTTGTTGGTTCTCTGAGTCTGCTTTAGCCCTTCCTGTTGGGCTCCTGGGGCGGTCATTTGAGAGGACATGCAATGAAACTCTGCTGTGTAGGAAAAACTCTAATCGTCCCTCTAGCCCAACTGAAGCCTCCAGGTTCTATATGAAGGTTTCCAATTCCCTTACCAATGGCAGTCTACTAGCTGGGCCCACTGGGACCTGTTCAAACTGATCCCTTGGAACAGTCAATCCCAAAGCATGGCCCCCGGACTAGCATCATATTTGTTACCATGGAACATAGAAGTGCAAATTCTCAGTCTCCTGTCAGACCTAGGGAACCTGAAAACACATCCACTATTAAGAGCTCTCCAGGTAAGGCTGGATGTGCTTAAGGTTGAGGTCCATAAGATGGCTCAACTGGCAAAGGTGCTTGCCACCAAGCCTGACAACCTGAGTTCAACCCTGGGGCCCACATGAAGAGAATTGACTCACCCAGGTTGTCCTCTGACTTCCACAGGTGCACTGTGGCACACAAGTACACACAAAATATAGACTTTTTGAAAGAAATTACCCATTAGTACAGAGTTGGTGGTTTGCTTAAGGCTAAATTCAAGCCCTCCCAAGTTCACCAACCATCTAACCAAAGTAGGGAGTCCAGCTTCTAGAACTTACCCTCCCTGCCTTTGAGGTCTTGATCTTAAAGGTATTATTTAAGGTTTTCCCCAAGTAGCTTAGACACATCTCATATAACTCACATTGGTTGTTGGTCTTAAAATAAAAGTAGTTCTTTCTAGGAGCTGGGGGAGATGATCTAGTGAGTAAGAGCCCTGGTTCTGCAGACATGAGGACCTGAGTTTGACTCTCTAGTACCCACATGAAAAATCAGGCATGGCTGTGCATGCTGCAACCCCAGCATTCTGGGTCAGAGATGGGAAGATTCTGAGAGCTCACTGGCCAGCCAGCCTAGACAAAACTGTGAGCTTCCAGTTCAGTGAGTGAGCCCATGTCAAGGCAATAAAAGAGGAAGACACCTGATGTCCTGCTCTGGCCTCTGCACTCACACATATATGCAGTACACCAACATACACAATTGCAACACACACACACTACAACACACACACATACATCACACACAACACATACACATAAATAACACACACCACACCCAGACATACATATACCACAGAAATACATACACACTACCAAACATACACCATACACACATATCACACAAACATGCACACCACACATCATACATATCATACACATATAACACACATAAAACATACACACACAGACCACTCACACCACACAAATATATACATCATACACAAACCACACACACTACAACCAATACCTACAGCATGCACATTTAACATACATATATTATGCACACCATGCATCACATATACCATACACATATGTAACATACACACTGCACAGTAAAAACATGTAAGTACACACATACCATATACCACATACATATATACCACACACACCAGGCACATATAATACACACATAAAACATAAAACATACACCACACCATACAGCATATACACATACACCATATATGCAAATATAACATACACACATACACCAAAAACACCCACAAACACCACACAGCACACACACATATATTACAAACATATATATAAACCACACACATACACCACCCACTACACAAACTCGCCACACACATAACACACATATACCATACTCAGATATATCACATACATATACCACACACAACATAGAACATACAAACATGCAGAACACTCGCCATACATATGCAAAAATACACCACATGCACACACTTCATATATATCACACAAACTCACACCACACATGTGCAACACATATACCACAACCACATACATAGAGTACACATACTTACACTGCACACACCACACACACATATATGACACATATACACCATACACACAGCACATACCCACACCATACACGCCACATGCATACACATAGACCACATGCTCACACCACGCATGCACACACACCACACATATAGACCATATACACACCTATACACCACACACATATACCACACACATACATGTACACCACACATATATAACACACACAAATACTACACACATGACATACACATACACCATTCACACACACCACACAAACACACTATTCATATACCACACTCAGATATACCACATACACCATACACATACACTAAACACACATATAACACACACATACACCACACATACAGCACATACATACACCACACACATGTAACACACACATATACCATATACACTGCACACACACACCATACTTACATATACCACACACAACAATGCATACATATTCACCACACACTCACAGACCACATATACACACTCATCACAATGCACCACATGCACAAGCATTTACCACTTGCACACATGCACCACACACACACCACACACACATACACACACACACACACACACTCACACACGTAGCACCTCTTTCTCTTCAGTGCCCACCTCTGCATCGACCCTTGTTCTTGACATGGCTGTCTGAACTGATGATTGGTATTTTACAGGCTGCTCTCAGAGCTCCTCAGTCAGAGGCTCAACAGAGGCAGAGGCACCATGGGGCCCATCAAGCACTCTGTTTCATGGGGCCTCTGTTCACTGTCTTTTCATGACTAGTGACTGTGTATGCCCTCCTGGCTGCCCTCCCACCTTCACCGGTTTTCCCGCCAGCCATGGTGTTGCAACCCATTATTTGGTAGTTCTGTAGCCTGCTATCTGCAGCTTCCTGTGCCTGTCTTCTGTGGATCACCTTAAAGCTGCAGGTGCCTAATGTTTATAAGGAAAATATTGTACTTGAAAAGTATCTCCCAGAGGGGAAGGCGAGACAGTGGGAGAGCAGGGCAATGCTGGGACAAGGGAGAGAGGAAAGGTCCTCTCCACTTGTTCCACTCAGCCCACACGGCCTGACCGAGGCTGGTTCGTGGCCCCCTTTGGGAAGAACCCATGGTGGGTGTACCCCGCAAGCTTCCTGCCGGCCCTGCTGGTGACCATCCTGATCTTCATGGACCAGCAGATCACAGCTGTCATTGTCAACCGGAAGGAGAACAAGCTGAGGGTAAGGCTGTGCCAGGAGCAGAGTCAGGGAATGAAGGAGGGGCATGCTTCCTTCCGTCCTCTGAAAGATGAATCCCCACTTGATGTCTTTAGGTAGGGGAGATATGACCTCCAAACAGGGACAGGGTGACTTGATCTGAGGACAGGTCCAAGTCCACTCTTGAGCAGTGATGGTGGTAGGCCTGAAATCAGGAGACAGAGAACCTTCCTGAGACCCCTGCTTCCTGCCTTTGGGTCTGAGAAGACTCAGACCACTCCCTGCCCCACCCCAGCCTGGGCTATTGTAGGCTAGGATACTTCATCCACAGCAGAAATGCCATGGTCACTGGTCAGGAGCTCTCCTCAGGGACCGAAACCCAGGGCTTTTCCAAGCCAGAACATCCCTCTCTTCCAAAACTATGTCCCTTATTTGGCGCACTCTTTTAGACAGGGTGGCAACTAAAGTTGCCTCTGGGTGTGGTGAGGACATGTCTGATGTCCTCAGAGTGAGGATCTCAGTGTGACATACCCATCAGAATACACCCTGGAAGGCAAGGGGAGTCCTTGAACCATGTTCCACAAAATGGCTGCTTTGAGGAGGAACAGGCTTCTAGAAGCTTCTCCTGTCCCACCGCCCTGCAGAAGGCTGCTGGCTACCATCTGGACCTGTTCTGGGTAGGCATCCTCATGGCCCTGTGCTCCTTCACGGGGCTCCCCTGGTACGTGGCTGCCACTGTCATCTCCATCGCCCACATCGACAGCCTCAAGATGGAGACAGAGACCAGCGCCCCTGGGGAGCAGCCCCAGTTCCTGGGGGTCAGGTAAGAAGGGGCAAGGCATGGGTCACCTGAACAGGACTGACCAGCTTTGGGGAGGGGAACTGGCTTTTCTTCAAGGTAGTTCGGTGAAAAAAGGCCCTCTATGCCACAGCCGAGAAACCACAGGGACAGGAGGATATTCTGGAGGGAGAGAAAGAGATGAAAATTCAATTTTAAGCAGTACTTTTGTCTTAGAAGTCTCCAGTAACACACACACACACACACACACACACACACACACACACACCACAAGCTCTATAATCTAGGGCCACCATAGGGCCTTTCCCTGCCCTCTCTGTCTATCCTCAAGACCCTCCAGGTCCCTGCCCCTAGTGCCTCCCAAGGCTTCCCATAAGTTCACAACTTGCTTGGTTCCCCATACCTCCAGAAAGCCTTCCCAGAACCATCCCCAACCCTGACCTGCAGCTCTGGCTACTCCCTTCCTGCCCCATGTGAGCTGTTTCAGGCAGGGAACCATATCTTAATGCCCCTTAGGTTGCTGATGTCTACACCTGCTATTCTCCAAAATGGCTGCCCTGGGATCTTCTCCCTGCGGCTTAGGATACATGAGCCACCTGACCTACCCTGAGGAAGGCTTCTTTGAAGTGCTCAAGACTGGCCATGACAGGGTCCTCTCCCAGCCCACTGTATTCCTAGGCCTAAACAATCTGTCCAGAGCCCACAGCCAGGGCCTAGACTCTCAGGAAAGCCTACTTATGCCAACCCCTGCTGCCTTCTCTGCAGTAGTTAGACCCCTTCCCCAGATTTTCAACAACTGTGACTCCTAAGAGTGGGAGCATACCACCAAAGGGCAGAATCATAAGCACTTTACATCATAACAACCTGTTGATGGCAGTGCCATTGTTATCTCTGCTGTACTCAACTTGGGGTGATCATGACCTTGCCTGATGCTCCAAGTAGCAGAGCCAAGATTCAACCCAAGTCCAACTTCAGACACTAGACTGGATAACCTCCCCAACACTCCTACAAAATGTCCTGACCTGGGTCAGGTGTTCCCTCTTTCCTGAGGGTCATCTGGGCCTCAGGCTACAACTACTTGAGTCCATGAGCTACTTGAGTCCATGGTGTTGGACAGAATAAGCTTCAAGTCCTATAGAAAGTGAGGTTGGGAGTGGCCATGGAGCATCTTCTAGGTTACCCCTGACTGCATGCTTATCTCCACCAGGGAGCAGAGAGTGACTGGCATCATGGTGTTCATTCTGACAGGAATCTCTGTCTTCTTGGCTCCTATCCTGAAGGTGAGGCTCTGCCACTGCACCCCCCCAAGGACCCCATCACCTGAAAAAGCACAGGAGTGGGGAGGGGTAGCCCAGGGGCCACCAGCCTACAGGCCATAAAAGAAGTAAAATGGGGCTGGAGAGATGCTCAGCGGTTAAGAGTGCTGACTGCTCTTGCAGAGGACCTGGGTTTGATTCCCAGCACCCACATGGCGGCTAAAAACTGTCCTTAACTCCAGTTCCAGGGGAATCCGAAGCCCTCTTCTGACCTCCGCCTCATTGCATGACACGGGTGCACTCACATGCATGCAGGCAATACACTCATACACATAAAACTAAAAAAAACAAAAACAAAAAAACAAAAACCAAGCTGTTAATAGGCCAAAGTGCTGTTTCTTCATTTCCTGTGCTCTGCTGTCTCACTCCCTCCAGAGCTGCTTCAACCTTTCTGGAGACCATGATTCCCCAGGTAGCTCTGTTAAGTTCTTTTCCTACTTAGATCAGAAACTTCCAAAGCTGGGTGTGTCCACGTTGCTGTGGCTTGGGCTCACTCTAGGCCTTCGTGCTTTATGGGGAAGACCGCTGAGCTCTTCTCCAAGCCCAGTCTCTGGTCCTCCATCTTATGTCTGTTGGGCATCTGAGTGACTTTCCCCCACAAAGCTTTAAACGTCTCTTGTTCCACGTCTTAACAGCTGAAGGAAATTCCAGCAGGGGTTCATTCAAGGCTGTATCCTCAGACAGATCACTTTCCAGTCAGGAATGGGTGGTCCTGATCGGTATCTCCACTCTCTGTTCTCCACTACATCCAACTGCCTATAAGTGGCCCTTTCTCTCAATCAATATTCCTACATAAGACTTTTCTTTATTTTTTCTTTGTGTGTGTGTGTGTGTGTGTACATGTGTAAGTGTACATTTGTGCAAGTGCATATTTGCATGAGTGTGGAGGCCAGAGGTTGACATTGAGTGTCTTCCTCTATCACTCTATAGTTAATTTTTTTTACAATTTATTATTTTTAATTTATGTTATTATATGTGTATGAGTGTTTTGCCTACATGTATGTAAGCATACTGCATTCATGCAATGCCCATGGAGGCCATAAGAGGGTATCAGAACCCCTGGAACTAGAGTTACTGATGCTTGTTAGCTGCTATCTGGGTGCTGGGAACCAAACCCAGGTCCTCTGAAAGAGCAGCCAGTGCCCTCAACCACTAAGCCATCTCTCCAGCCCCTTATTTTTATTATTTTTAATTATGTGTATGGGGGGTTGTCTGTGTATATGAGTGCAGGTTTGGTTCTCCTGGAGCTGGATGTCAGCTGCCCATTATGGGTGCCAGGAACTGAAACCTGGTCCTCCTCAAGAGCTGAATATACTCTTAACCACTAAGCCATTTCTCTAGCCCTTCCATCCTATATTTTGAGAGGATCTCTCACTGAACCTGGAGCCCACCAATCTGGCTAGGCTGACCATCAAGCCCCAGGGATTCTCCTGTCCCCCTGCCTTTTCACTTGGGCCCTGGAATCTAAACTCTGGTCCTTGTTCTTTGCACAGCAAGCACTTTACCTATTGAGCCATCTCTGCAGCCCAAGACTTTTTCTCTTAAATTAAAGTTACCTTTTGCAGCCATTTTTCCCCTTTAAATGTCTTAAAATATCTGATTCAGGGGTTACCTTGAAAAAAAAAAAAAGACTGAAAGGCTACAGTGTTCATTGATTCAATCACTATGAAAAATATTTCAGGCTTAAGAATGGGTTCTGGGCACACCTGAGCAGTAGATGTGAGGTTGGTCCCTTCAAACGTGTATTTTAGAGACTAAGTGTATTTCCTTTGTGTAAAAAAAAAATGGATCACACATAGGTGGGCAGATATTTGGTTATTTGAAAGTGGTTCTTGGCAGGGCAATGAGATGGCTCAGCAAGTGAAGGCACTTGTGGACCTGCTGACCTGAGTGTGATCCCCAGGACCCATATGGTAGAAGGAGAGAAACGACTCCAAAGATGTCCTCTGACCTTCACACATGTACTGTGGCCTGTATACATGCACATACTAAAGAGATAAACAAATGTAAATAAAACAAAATACACTTTTAAGAGCCAGGTCTGGTAGCACAAGCCTGTAATTTGTGATGTTAAAGCAGAAAGATCACAAGTTCAAGGCCAACATGAGCTACACAGTGAGTTCAAGACTGGCATCTTGGTGAGACCCTTTCAACAAAAATAAAATGAAAGCTGTGGGTATAGATCAGTGGTAGAGTGCTTGTCTAGCATATGCAAGGCCCTGGATTCAATTTCCAGTACCATAAACAAATAGAATCACTTTTTTGGGGGGTTCTTTTTTTTGAGACAGGGTCTCCCTGTAGCCCCAGCTGTCCTGGAACTCACTATGTAGACCAGGCTGCCCTTGAACTCACAGAGATCCGCCTGCCTCTGCCTCCTGAGTGTTGGGATTAAAGGCGTGCGCCACCACGCCTATCTTGAACCACTTTTATGGTACTGGGGATTGAATTCAAGGTCTCTCAAATGCTAGACAGTGCTATACCACTAAACTGTATCCCCAGCCCAAAGAGCCACTTTGTTTTTTACATTTTTATTCATTTATTTTGTGTGAGTATATATGTATGGTGTGTGTGGTGGTCAGAGGACAACTTGTGGGAATTGCTTCTATGACAAGGTGGGGGGGGAGAGAGAGAGAGAGAGAGAGAGAGAGAGAGAGAGAGAGAGAGAGGAGGGAGGGAGGAAGAGAGAGATTGGTTTTTGAGACAGGGTCTCACTGCATAGCCCTGGCTAGTCTGAAACTCACTATGTAGACCAAACTGGCCTTGAACTCACAGAGATCCACCTGCCTCTGTCTCTTGAGTGCTAGGATTACCCAGCCCAACCTGTGTTTTAAGTGTCCACGGAGGGGCTAGAGAGATGACTCAGCAGTTAAGAGCACTGGCTGTTCTTGCAGAAGACCTATGTTTGCACCTACATGGTGGCTAACAACTGTCTGTAACTCCAATTCCAGGGGATCTGACACCCTCCTCTGTCTTCCTCAGGCACTGCATGACACAGGTACACTTACATACATGCAGATATAACACACACATAAAATAAAAATAAATAAAAGAAAAAATAATCCAGGGATGATTCACTTTTGTAGAAAGGTCTCCAAAGAACCATTATGTATGTCACTTTGGCCAGTGTTTGTATCAAAATCCTCTGTGCCAGATGTGGTATTGCATGCCTTTGATCCTAACACTCAGATCTCTGTGAGACTGAGGCCAGCCTGGTCTACACAGCGAGTTCCAAACCAGCTGGGACTACAGGGAGACCCTGACTCAAAAAACAAACAAACAAAAAAAATTTCTAGTCTAAGAAAAGTGTTATTTAATGACCAAAGATTCCTACCAACACTTGGAGGTGGCAGCTGCTGTCTCCCTGTGATAGATTCAGACCTCCATCCAGCTGTGGAGCGTATTCAGCACTTCAGTCATTCCACACCAGCTTTTCTGTGTATTTGAATTGAGCACAAATCAATTAGAAAATTCCACAATGGTCTCCCTCCTTTTGTTCTATTCACAACGTGATCATTTCATTTATGAACACATTTATTATGTCCTGTGTATAGTTTCCAGGCTTTTAGACACATACTTTTAACATCTGATTTTACATTTTTGTTTTTACACTAATATTGTCTATGTGCTTAATATAGGACAGCATGCCCACAGCAATATAAATAAAATAATTTAAATGAGAGCTGGGGGGGTAGCTCAGGGTGGTGTGCTTACCTAACTTGGGTGAAGAACTGGGTTCCATCCAAAGCACTAGGGAAAAAAAGAGTTCTGTGCATAAGATTTGACTTTGCTGAAGCCTTTTGTGGCTGTTCTCTAAATAATGTATTGTTTATTCTTACTAACATGTAATCATTGCACATTTTTGACTGATAATGGAATTCCCTTTCTGTTGAAGTTTTTGGCCAAAGTATTATAACTTTTCCAAACTATGAACTGTATTCCTATATTAAGTGATGCCTTAGAAACCAGGCTGTGGATGGAAGTCAGTAAAGTGCTTGCTGTGTAAGCATGAGAACCTGAGTTCAATCCCCAGCACCCAAGTTAAAAAGTTGGATGTGGTGGCCCATGCCTGTAATCTCAAACCAGTTTAGGCTACTTGGCAAATTCCAAGCCAATGAAAGATTTCTCAAAAAAAAAAAAAAAAAAGGTACCTGAGGAATGACACCCAAGGCTGACCCCTGGCGTTCACATGTGCCGCTGTGCCGCTACAGATAAGAGTTTGCTGGTTTGGGTTTTGGGGGATTGTGTGTGTGTGTGTGTGTGTGTGTGTGTGTGTGTGTGTGTGTAGGCTCATACATGCCATAGTGCTCATACGGCAATCAGAGGACAACTCTTGGGAGTCAGTTTTCTCCTGCAGTGAGTTCTGAAAATCAAACTCAGGTCATCAGCCTTGAGCAGCAAATGCCTTTACCCAGAGCCATCTCACCAGCCCTTGTTTTTTATTTCTTTAGAGTGTCTCACTATATATCCCTGATTATTTGGGGAGATGTAGATCAGATTAGACTCAAACTTGCCACAATTCTTTTGCCTTGTGGGATTATAAGCATGACCCACCACACCTAGTTTGTAATTAAGGTTCTTTGGAAACTTTTTTTTTAAACAAAACTTCTTTAAAAAAATTATTTATTTATTTTTTATGTGTATGCGTTGCCTGCTTGTAGATAAGTGCACCCATGTTGTGCAATGCCCGTGGAGGTCAGAAGAGGGTGTCAGATCCCCTGGGACTGGAGTTACGGACAGTTGTTAGCTGCCATGTGGGTGCTAGGATTCGAATGCATGTCTTCTGCAAGAACAACCAATGTTCTTAACCACTGGGCCATCTCTCCAGCCCCTTTTAAAGCTTTTTATTATTTTTTATTTGTGTGTGTGTGTGTGAATATATGCCACATATGTACAATTTCTCACAGAGGCCAGAAGAGGGCATCAGATCCCCTGGAGCTACAGTTATAGGCAGTTATGAGCAGTTATGAGTTATGAAATTTGGGAACCAAACTTGGGTCCTTTGGAAGAGCAGCAAGTATTCTTAACTGCTGAGCCATCTCTCTGGCCCCTTGTTATTAAATTTTATTTAAGATTTCCTTTTTCTCTCATTGCTCCCATACTTTAGCAATTGAGACAGTGTAATATCTTGAAATTTTTACATTGCTTTATAACTAGGGAAATTTTCATAAGCCATGTACTAGTGGGTCAATCCAAGGGCCATCTACCTCCTTTTTTAATATTTAGCTCAAATGCCTTAGATTGACGTTTACAACATTTAGGTCTAAATCTTGATTCATGTTTAAATAGTGAACACAGTCTAACCTTAAAAAGTGATTGCTTACTGGGTTGAATGCTTTGACATTTTCTTTAAGATTTAAAAAATTTGTGGGGGCTGGAGAGATGACTCAGCAAGTAAGAACACTTGCTGTTCTTCCAGAGGACCTAGGTTCAATTTCCAGCACCCACAGGGCAACTAACAACTGTCCGTAACTCCAGTTCCAGGGGATCTGACACCCTCTTCTGGCCTCTGCAGGCTTTTCATGACCTGAGTGCACTTGCATACATGCAGGCAAAACACACACACATTTTAAAAAATTGTGTATGCATGTGTGTTTGTGTACTTGTATGCAGGTGTCCTTGGAGTCCAGAAGGGAGTATTGTATCCCATGGGGCTAGAGTTGGAGTTGGTTGTGAGCTGTCTGATGTGGGTGCTAGGAACTGAACTTCAATCTTCTGGAAGAGCAGGAAGTTTTCTTCACCACTGAGCCATCTCTCCAGCCCCCGCCTTGAAATTCTTAAACGGTGTCTAGAAGTTAGGCAGCACATACTGGTATCCTACCTTGTGCTTACCAAAGTGTTCTAGTAGGACGATCGAAGAGCAAAGCATGACAGCCTTGGTTCAGCAGCAAGTATGGGCATAGATAAAGAAGATAAAGAAGCTGAAATGCAGCCTTTTTGTGGCAAAAAGGAGACTTTTAAAGATTCGAAATGATGATTGATTGTAAGAATGTGTAAATTATATGATTTTTTTTTCTTTTTTTGAGACAGGGTCTGGAGTTTACAGATTTGGACTAGCTAGTTTGTCAGTGAGCCTTCAGGGATTCTCCTGTCTCTGCCTTCCCAGTGCTGGGATTACAGGCTTGTGTCACCATGTCTTTTTTTTTTTTTTTTTTGCATGGTTGCTGGGGATCAAATTTAGGCCATCATGATTATGCAGCAAGCACTCTACCAACTGAGCCATCTCCCCAGCCCCCAGCCATCTCCTGAGGCCCTGATTCCATTTTTGAAAAAGCAAACAAACAGCTGTTGTCCTTGTTTGCAGAAGGCATGATACAAATCATCGCTGCTTAGTTTATGTGCTTCTGTTCTGTTCGCACTGAGCTGGCTGTGTATAATGTGTGACTTTGGCACTTGTTTTTGGTACTCTCTGTTGTTGCTCAGCTTAGCCATGTTCCCTGGCCCCTTCAGCAGCCCTCAGCTGAGGGTAAAGTGGGCCAGATCTGTGGCAGTGAGCAGGATTCAGTCTGTGCAGCACTACCTCTTTCTGGAAGGCTGTCTTAACCCACATTGTGTAGGTTCTGCTTGTCTGGGAGGGCAGCCAGGCCTGGAGAGGGACCATGTGCTGGGCTGGCCACCTTCACACACTCAGACTCCAAGTTTGCTCTTGAACCCTCAGCTCCTCCAAATGCCAGCTCCCCAGTTGCCTCTGTGGTTGACTAACACACCCCTGTTCCGCACAGAATGGCCAAGGATGCTCAGCTGCCCAAACCTCTGCTCTCTCATTCCAGTATATCCCCATGCCAGTGCTCTACGGAGTCTTCCTCTATATGGGCGTGGCCTCTCTCAATGGCATCCAGGTAAAACTGTACTCTCCCCAGGCTTATGTGACCTAGTTGGATGCTACCAAGACGTTAAATGCTTGATGTCCTGATTCAGTGGAAGTATATGATAATGATGCCACTTCCATCAACTGTGCCAACAAAACATCTAAACCAGGGCTCTTTATACGCGTCATCTAATCTCTGTGATTAGGTCCTGAGGTCCATGTTTTACAGGGGAGAAAACTGAGGCTCAGAGTTTTAAAACTAGGTCAAGCTAACTCTGATGACCTCTCACTACACCTCCGCATTTTTCTCCCCTAAAGTTACTCCACAAAAGAAAAGATTTTTGTTTTGCTCTGATTTACCACAAAACCCCAGGGTGCCCTGGAAGACTGTGCTGCAATTAGCTTAGTTGACTTTTTTTTTTTCTTGATTGAGTGTAGACCATGTTCGTTTCATGGCCATATCCAGGGTCTGTTCCCAACACTCAGGGCTTGAGCTCCCTTTCCTACATTATACATGCCTAGACATTACTAGCATGTCATAAGGCCTAATTAGAGGTCCCCTCTCTGAGACCCCACAAAGGCACAGCTCCCCTAGTCCCAGGCCCCAGAAGGTCTTCTCCCCAGGGGCCTGACTACCTAGCTAAGCCCTGTATTGTATCCTTGCCAGTTCTGGGAACGCTGCAAACTTTTCCTGATGCCAGCTAAGCACCAGCCGGACCATGCTTTCCTGCGACATGTGCCCCTCCGCCGGATCCACCTCTTTACTCTGGTGCAGATCCTCTGCCTGGCAGTGCTCTGGATCCTCAAATCTACCATGGCTGCCATCATCTTCCCCGTCATGGTAAGATGGGCATAGGCTCCCCTGCTTCTCAGCACAGTCTTGCCAGGAGGTTCAGTGCCAACAAGTGGAGGTAATAATGGCAATGTGGCAGGACCCTGCAAAGACAACCCATCTGCTGAAGCCAGGGTAAAGCCACCCAACCTCCCTGGTGGGGAAGTGGGAAAGGGTGGGATTGGAGAAGCAGGACAAACCAGAAAGCCAAGTTCCTCACTGCTGAACTTCAAGCCAGTCTCAAAATACTAAGTATAAACCTTTCACCCTGTAAAACAACTGCATTTGAAAAGATAAATAAATAATGAGGAGTGGAAGGGAATGGGGACTAAGATCATAGAATCAAGAACTTAAGAATGTGCACTGAGTATGGTGGCACTGGCCTGTAATCCCAGCTCTGGGGAGGCTGAGACAGGAAGAGTCCTGGGACTTATTGGCTAGCTAGTTTTGGGGACACTGAAATAGCTGCAAAGACACTAGCCACAAAAGGTCTCCCAATTCAGTTAACTGAGGAAGAAAAAAATGAGCTCATAGCCAGGTGTGGTGGAGCATGCCTTTAATCCCAGGACTCGGGAGGCAGAGGCAGGTGGATCTCTGTGAGTTTGAGGCCAGCCCAGTGTACACAGCGAGTTCCAGGCCAGCTGGGGCTACAGGGAGACCCTGTCTCAAAAGTACACCCCGCCCCCCAAAAATGAGCTTATGTTTTTCTCTGGGCTTGAATGAAACTTCAGACTCTGCCTGTCCTTCCACCCCAGATCCTGGGCCTCATCATCGTTCGAAGGCTCCTGGACTTCATCTTCTCCCAACATGACCTGGCCTGGATTGACAACATCCTCCCAGAGAAGGAGAAAAAGGAGACAGACAAGAGGAAGAAGAGAAGAAAAGGGACCCATGATGACATTCATGAGGAGGTGGGGAAGATAAGAGGCCTAGGCAGATGCAGAGAGTGAGAGACCCTCCCTCTACTTCCACTGGGGTGGCTTCTCAGGTGACCTGTAGCAGTACCTGGTCTAGGAGGAGCATCTGTGTTGATCTGGGGTACAAAGGCCCCATCTGTTCCTGGGAATATCCTCAGGGTATCCAGAGCTAGTAAGCCCCTCTGCCCAGGAACAGGTGATAGCCTCCCACTCTCCTATTACTCTGGGTCCTCAGGATCATTATCAACAGCAGTGAAGGTCCCTGAAGGAGCTAGGCAGAAGATGCTCCAACAGAGAAGGTGGTTATAAGGAGGACCTCTAGAGAATGGAGCAGACCTGGGGTGGGGAGATTCCAGCAGGAACTTACAGGGAGACTGAACCCAGGACAGGTAGTAGCACTGGGGAGAAACTTTGCTTGGGCCTGTCCACAGGGTATTAGGGATGGAAGTACGGGAAGTGTTCAAGTTAAAAGGAGTATGGCTATATTTGCTAGATGCCTAGGACCACCTGGATGCCCACCATTCAGAGAGTCAACAGCCAAGGAGCCAACCCAGAAAGCATAGTAAATCTCAAAATATTAGGTAGAATGATTTTCTGATTCAAGTGTCCATTAAAAAATCTGACACTGTCCCACAAAAGGAAAGTGACGTCCCAAGATTGACATGTAGCTAAATGTCTAAGAGAATTAAGAAAAGCATTCCTGTTTTGACCATGCCCTCCCTTGGTGCCATTGCTAGTCTCCCCATTTTACTAGCACCCACAACCTTCATCTACCCTGTGCTAGATATTTCACCTTTTTTACATGAAAGCTGTTCACAGGCTAACCCTTGCTGACTGGTGGACAGTTGATTAAACCATCCTCTGATTGCAATGATTGGCTTGAACTTCCACGTCCTTATTGCTGTCTTCTTCCAAGAGGACAAAGCCCCATATTTCATTCATGTATTTTTTGCAGATAACTTAGCAAACTTTAGGAGTTGGGGATATCCAACTCAGCTCAGTTGGTAGCATGCTTGCCTAGCATACAGGAAGCCCTGGGTTCAGTCTCTTAATACCTCTCAAAATAGACATGGTTGTACATACCTCTAACCCTGGGAGTTAGAGGGAGGAGGATCAGAAGTTCAAGTGTATCCTCAGTTACATAGTGAGTTGGAGGCCAGCTGTGATACATGACACTCTGGGGAATGGAATAGAAGGGAAGAGAAGGGGAGGGGAGGGAAAGAGACACATAAACGATCACTATTAACCTTTATATTCTTGTTTAGTCCCAAGATCTCTCATGTTAATATCACGATATAAAACATGGTACAATTTTAAGCCAGGCATGGTGGTGCACACCTTTAATCCCAGCACTTGGGAGGCAGAGGCAGGTGGATCTCTATGAGTTCAAGGACAGCCTGGTCTACATAGTGAGTTCCAGGATAGCTAGGGCTACAGGGAGACCCGATCTCAAAAAGACCAAAAAAAAAAAAACCAGCAAAAAACATGGTACAATTTTAAAAGTCCCACAGTCTTTAAAAAAGTCAGCTTTAAAAGTCCAAAGTCATTCCAAGCATGGTGGCACATATCTTTAACCTAGAACTAGGGAAGCAGAGGCAGGCAGATCTCTATGACTTCCAGGTCAGCCTGGCCTACATAGCAAGTTCCAGGGTAGACAGGGATACATAGTGAGATACTATCTTTTAAAAATACCAAAAAATTGGGGCTGGAGAGATGGCTCAATGGTTAAGAGCCCTGACTTTTCTTGCAGAGGACCTGGGTTCAATTCCCAGTACCCATATGGTGGCTAACAACCATCTGTAACTGTAGTTCCAGGGGATCTGAGGCCATCTTCTGAGCTTCAAGAGCTTTGCATGACATGGGTGCACTTACATACACGCAGGCAATACACTCATACACATAAAATAAAAATAATAAATAATTTGTTTAAATCCCAAAAGCTCTCAGGGGCCACAGAGATGACTCAGCAGTTAAGAGCACTGGTTGCTCTTGTAGAGGACCAAAGTTTGGTTTTCGACACCCATGTGGCTGCTAACAGCTGTCCATAACTCCAGTTCCAGGGGAATCCAACACCCTTTTCTGATGCCACAGACATTGCACGAATGTGTGCTGACCCTATGTGCTGACTGTGAGGAAATACTCCCCAGAAGATTTTGCCTCAATGATGCCTTATTAATCACAGCTGATTTTTCAGCCCCAGATAACCAGCATTGATTGTCTCCGCAAAACAGTTTTTTATTTCCATAGATTCTCAATTCAAAATATTACATAAATTGCCCCAATAGAGACTTTGAATAAGTTTCAAACTGCCCACTGAACCATCACAAGCCGAGTCTCCATCCTCCCCATTGATCTCAGCACTATCTTCCATGTTCCCACAGAACAGCTCACTAAGCTCTAAGCACTCAACAGCTTTTCCAATCCAAAATTTCAACAATCTTCCCCCAAAACAACATGGTCATGTTTATCATAGGAAGATCCCACTCTTTGGTGTCAATTTCTGTCCTACTTTGCTTTCTTTTGACCAAAAGCAACTTGGAGAGGAAAGGGTTTATTTCATCTTACAACTCCCAGGTCATAATCCATCACTAAGGGAGTCAGGGAAAGAACTCAAGGCAGGAACCCAGAGGCAGGATCAGAAGCAGAGACCACAGAGGAACCCTACCTACTAGCCTGCTTCCTCTGGGTTGCTCCTCTTGTACAGCTCAGACCCACCTGCCCAGTGATGGCACTGTCCAAAGTGGGCTGGGTTGGACCCTTCTACATCAATTAACAATCAAGAAAATGCCTCACAGATATGCCCACAGGCCAATCTGATAGAAGAAATTCCTCAGGTGAGGTTTCCTCTTCCCAGGTGTCTCTAGTTTGTGTCAAGTTGACAAGAACTAGCCAGTACACACAACAGATTAAACTGTTCTGAGTGACATTCTTGAATGAATTCCTTCCTGTCTCCTGGGTCTCTAGAATAGTGCATAACTGCACCATGGCCCAGAGTGTTTGCCACATGCCTTACTAGTTAGTCTTTGTGGGAAGAGGATGGTGGCTTGCATACTGTGGATGAATGTGTCTTTTGTCTCAGCAAGGAAGCCAGAGTGGTTGTGTTGGTGTTTATCAGTTTTTCCCACTGTTTTTCTCCAGCCCCAGTTCCTTCCTCCCTCAGTTATAAAGATTCCCATGGAAAGTGTCCAATCTGATCCCCAAAATGGTATCCACTGTGTTGCCAGTAAGTACAACACCTGCTGTCTCTCCTTTCCTACTCATTACTAGTCCTCCATCTCTAAGGAACTTTCCCCCTGCAGTTCAGCAATCTAACCATTTTAGATGCTGGAGGACACCAGTGCTAGGCAGAGATCAAAGATAACTGGCCAAGAGCATTGGCACCCTAACCAGATAGGGACCTCAGTGCACAGTCCTCAATTTTCTTTAGACAACCCCTTTCATTCCCACCTTTCCTCTGCTCATGGCTCTACTAGTCCTCCCCTTCATTGTTTCAGACCACATTGGTCCAAACATGAGCCTCCCATGCTTTCCTGGTATTGTTAAGATGACTAAGAGTTCCAGTCAGGGCTGAGCTTTCCCCTTTTCCCACCTGGATGACATCATCCCCTGAGTAATCTGAATTAGAGAGTTAGAGGCACCTGCCACTGCAGGACAGGTGGTTGCCTGGGAGGGATCAGGCACTGCTCATAAAGACCCTTCCAGATGATTCTTCACTATCACTAAAATCTAGTGAGGAACAGTCCAATCTGTCCAAAAGTCTTCTGAAAGGTCCAATAGAGTCCTGACCGAGGCTCTTATTATATAGGGTTTGCCATTCTCCTCAAAGACAGGGAAGCTATGGGTGGCTAGCAGATCCTGCCAGCACCCTCAAGGGTCCTTGAGGACTGTCATAGTAGAAGGTGACTTCGGGTTCCTCACTATCCCACCCAGCTCTCTTCTGTCATCCTCTCTAGCCCTGCCCTCCCCATGACTCACTCCCTCTTAACCAGCCAAGAGCCCTTGGTGTGAAGCATTGAGTCAGCCACCCATCTTTGTGAGGCCCCAGTATTCCTCTTGTGGCATTCTGGCCATAGGATTGGAGCCAATAAATAGAAATGGTGGGGAGGCGCTGGAGAACTAGAATGTATCCTATCAAACCTGTATCCTATCAAACCTGATTCACATTTCCATTTCCCTACCAGGAAAAAGATCTTCCAGTTGGAGTTACTCACTCTGATTCTTTCTTCAGTGGCTCAGAACTGGATCAAAGGTAAAGATCATTAGACTTTTTTTTTTTCATGTTCAAGGGTGTGGAGTTATTACTGGATCATAGGCAACTTGCCAGTTGCCACTCTGAAGAAAATGACCCTCCCTCCTCCAGCAGGGTGGGGCCTCATGTTAGGTAGATCTCTGCGTATCAGACAAGAGAATGAGCAATGGCTAGAAGTTTGAGGGACAAGGCTAGCCTTTGCTGACCCACCACTGGGAGAAAGGGGCTGAGCAATCTGGCTACTGGAGATCAAGTAAAAACTGTATGTTCTAATCAACATTAACATGATTACAAAACACAAAGGCATCCAACTTAGAAAAGGAACTTACTACAAAATAGTACATAGAATACTGAAAGTAAATATTGAAAAAAGAGAACAACATAGACAGCTAAGGCATGGCTTAAGTATCTATTACTGAAAGCCAAAATAAATATACACAATAGGTTCAACACAAGGTACTCTAAGGAATAAAGTAGCAGTGGAAGCAGGATTAATGAGCACTAACTAGAAGGCAAAAAAGAAAGAGAGAGACACATTCAGAAAAAGGACTGGGGCAGTGGTTCAGGGGGTAGATTGCTCACTTAACATTCATAAAGCCCTAGGTTAGATCTCCAGAAGTGCATAAAACCAGTCATGCTGGTATACACCTATAACCCCAGCACTGGGGAGATGGAGGCAGGAGGGTCAGGAATTCAAGGACATCCTCTGCTACATACCAAGTTCAAAGCCAGCCTGGGGCACATACAAGACCATGTCTCAGAAGAAAAAAAAAGTCAGGAAAGCAGTCAAGGCCTGGATCCTTCATGCCAATGTGATTCCTTGGTGTTCTTGATAAGACGCCAGGCATGAAGAGAGCAGGACCACTTGATTTCTACTTAATTACCAAGGGGGTTCAGAAATGGAAGAGTCAGGGGCAAGGAAGTCTTTGCCTCTATTATTACTAGGGAAGGTGGCAGCCACAGTCCTATCCCTATTTTGTGCCCTAGAATGGACAGACTAGAATTCACTCAGTCCTGGATCTAACAGTAAGAGCAAAGGTTCCCCCAAGTCTAGAACCTAGCAAATTTCCAGAGGGCACACACCCAAGAAGGCTTTAAAATATGCACATAGAATCTTCTGGGTCATGAGTCAAGTTATCAGTGTCAGGAGTAGGCTTATCACCAGCTCAACCCTCCATGAGGTGCAGGCCCAAGACACTGTCCCAGATGAAAACAGGGGTCAGGCATGGTGGCACATGCCTTTAATCCCAGCACATAACCAGCACATAGGCAGTAGAGGCAGGTGTAAGTATGTATGTAGAGCAGACTACATACATTTTCCTCCCACATCCTCAATCTGGGCTTCTTTACCCTCAAACCCACTGATCTTTATATATAGTTAATAATAGGAGAAAATAAATTGTCCATCTTGGTTTGCTTTCCTTTTTTTGTTTTGTTTTTGAGACAGGGTCTCCCTGTAGCCCCAGCTACCTTGGAACTCACTATGTAGACCAGGCTACTCTCGATCTCAGAGAAATCCATCTGCCTCTACTCCCCCCTGCCCCCCCCATGTGCTGAGATTAAAGGTATGTGTCACCATGCCGGGCCCCTAGTTTTCATTTAAATTTTCTTTTATTTGATTTTATGTGTATGAGTGTTTCCCTCTATGTACATAAATGCACCACAGGCATGCTGCCCGCAGAGGCCAGAAGAGGGCATCTGATCTGGAACTGGAGTTATGGATGGGTGTTAGCCACCATGTGGGTTCTAGGAACTGAATCTCAGTCTTCTGCAAGATCAGCCACTGCTCTTAATGGCTAAACCATCTCTCCAGCCCCAATTTGTTTGCATTTTTAAAAAAGCAGCCTACAATGGGGCTGGAGAGATGATTCAGTGGTTCAGAGTCCTTACTGCTCAGTCATGAGTTCTAGAGTTTGTGGCCCAGCATCCATGTTGGGAACTCACAAATGCCTATTATTCAGCTCCAAGGGATCTGACAGTCTCTTCTGGCCTCTACAGGCACAAATAGCTTTTTAATTTCTTTTGGAAAAGACTTTGTGTGTGTGTGTGTGTGTGTGTGTGTGTGTGTGTTTGTTTGCCATATGTGTGCAGTGTCCATGGAGTCGGATGCCCTGGAGCTGGAATTTCAGGCAGTTATGAGTCACCCAATATAGGTGCTAAGATCTAAACTCGAGGCCTCTGGAAGAGCAGCAAGTGCTCTTAACCACTGAGCCATCACTTCTGTTCCCCAAAGAAGCCATTAACTAAAACAATAGCCTGCACTAAGTCAAATCTCTAATTGCACCAACTTCAGACAGGAGAGAACCTGCACCAAGATACCGAATTTCTAAAAACCTGTTAAATTATACAGAGCCAGAGAACAAGATCATAAATGCAGAGAACTAGAACCATAAATGGTTAACTAGAGGTGGTCCTTCCCAGCTATACTGGCATTTCACCAAGTCCATGAGAAGAGATGGAAGCAAAGACAACAGGACATCAGGGTATCATTTCAGTGAAGATAAAGGCTATGTCAGGGCTTAGCTTAACAAAGATGAAGCATCAAAGCTCTGCCAGGCACAATGCATGATCCCTGAGGGTGCAGAGGGACACACAGGTAAAGGCACAGAGCTGTGTGTGTGAGAATGAACATAGGAACGTGTAAGAGAAGCTAGTGAACTCAGGGGATTCGCCTTACCCAGGACAGATAGGGCCTGCCAGAGAAGAAAGGCCAGACCAGGCTGTGAAAACAGGTGTAAGGCAGCATTTGAAAGCATACACACAGGGAATAATGGGCAGTCAGACCTGAAAGGCAGCTCCAGACTAACAGGCTCTATGCTGTTGTACTATAGAGCTCATATGCTATCCTTTGAACAATGGCAAGCCAGATTTATGCTTTAGAAAGTTTTTTGTCAGTACTGGGTGAGATCAGTTCAGTAACTATGGCTGAAAGCCCTGCAGATAGAGGACACTTTGTTCCCTAGATACAGAGTTCAAAAGCAAGCCAGGCATGGTGGCACACGTCTGTCATCTCAGTACTTGGGAGGTGGAAAGCAAGCCAGGCATGGTGGCACACGTCTGTCATCTCAGTACTTGGGAGGTGGAGGCAGAAGGATCAGGAGTTCAAGGTCATTCTTGGCAAAATAGGAAGTTCCAGGCTACATGAAACCCCATATCAAGAACCAACAAAAACCTGCCAACAAAATGGCTCAGTGGGTAAAGGCAGTTGCTACCAAAACTGATGACCTGAACTCAATCCCCAAGACCCACATGAAAGGAGAGAATTGACTTCCAAAAGTTTTCCTGTCCTGACATGTGCCGTGGCATGTATGCCATGGTTGTGTGCATGACCATACACATACACAAATGTAATAAAAAATTTTTAAAAAGGGTTCAGGGGGCTGGATAGATGACTCAGCAGTTAAGAGCACTTACTGTTATTCCAGAGGACCCAAGTTCAGGCAGCTCACAACTACCTGTAACTCTAGTTCCAGGGGATCCAGTACCTTCTTCTGGCCTCTGTGGGCATACGTCATATACACAAACATTTGCTTTAAACACACCAAAAACTAGATGCTCATTCTCTCCTACTTTGTCTTGCTCAGCATCACCCTGCACTTCAAAATCTCTCGTTCGGCTTCGCCTGCTTTCACCTACTCACGGAGCCCTGCCTTCATGGTGCCGCAGGTGAAGATAGAGATGGAGTCTGACCTAGACTTCACAGACACTGAGGACTATGGGAGAGAGGCGGATGGTGAGACCACCCTCTAGCACAATGCAGTTTTTTCCAAGCTGGGGACCAGCCCAGTCTTCATAAATGTGGGTCAAGTCCTTCACTTGTTTCCTTATTCACTGACCAGATTTAATGTGGGTCAAGCCCTTCACTTGTTTCCTTATTCACTGACCAGATTTAAAACTGGAGGCCTTTCAGTGAAGTCCTGGAGACACAAAGCTCTCCCTTCCCTTCGCCATTAAAACAGCTAAAACAGAACCATGTATCTTAAAATACCATCCAGCCTAGAAAGGGTAACATATCTTTTCAAGTGAGCAGAATTGTCTCAAAGTCTTAGTGACCATAGTGGGTTTATATTTAAAATATATACCAATTAAATTTCTCTTAAAAATTAGACTGAAATCCAAATGACTTGAAGGCCCCAGTGTTTCACAGGTTTGCACGTTTTAGGAAATGCTGGGGGGAACTATCTTTTCTCTCCACCTCATTCTGCTTGAGTTTGAGTCCTCTGCACCATGGGCCTGAGTCTAGGAGTATGGCTGGGCCTTCCCCAGACTGAAAAGTCAGCTCCAAGTCTATTAATGAAAAGACCAGTTCATGAGTAGATTTGAAGACGTGGGGAATAGGGTCTCAGTATTCAGCCCTGGATGGCCCAGAACTCACTATGTAGAACAGGCTGGCCTCAAACTCACAAAACCCACCTGCCTCTGGGATTAAAAAAGTGTGCACCTCCATGCCTGGTTGAGTAGATTTTAAAACAATAGTTTTCTTTCAACTGAACTCTTAAGCCACATCAGATCAACAATATAACCCTTTAAATTTATGTCACTGGCTTCATAACCTGGAGTCAGTTAGTTGAAGCATTTGGGTAGGTCCTTCCCAAAATCTTTCAATAGCCAAGGCCCAAATTTTCATTTTCATAAACACTTCATTTACATTTTGTAAGATTATAACTTTGCTCCGTTAATCAAACTAGTATTCTGCAGAAATGGTTGTAAAAAACACCATTCCTAACTCAGAACTGCCTAGCTCTTCACCAATCCGAAACCATTTAAGTTTCAGTTCTTTATCATGCACCAATCCAGTGTTGTACAAGTTCCAGATTAAACTGTAGCAATGTTATGGATTCAGAGGTAAACACGCTTGAGTAATCAAACAGGCTGGAAACCCACAGTTAGTTTTTTATCATTGTAAATTGATCCATGCAACTTTTACCTTAAATGTCATTTATATTTTGTATATATGTGAACATCTTAACTTTGATAGCCTTTAGTGGGTTGGCATATTCTCTATTCACTAAGAATTTTTTTCCACTTCTAATGTAAACTGCTTCAATAAAGCTTAATTGTGACTGTTTATCTTCCTTTATGTTTAATAACTGAGGTAAGCGGCCATGGCCTATATATAGCATGTGCTGTACCTCACTTATAAAAGCATCCCCAGTAAGCTGTAGAGGAAGCCACTGGCAGATGAACAGGAAGTAGATCAACACTGCTGGTGCCTTATTCATTCTGCCGCAGATTGCCCAGAGTGGGAACTACTTTCTGCTCCAAAGCCCAAACACCTAGTTTGAGAACATGGGGACCAAACCTGGCCTCAAAATACGTCCAATTTACACCTTCTGTCAAATCAAATTTCTGCTTTAGATGGCACATATCCACTGTGCCCATGGTTGCGTTATGTGTCGAGAATTTCACAACTACCTGTAACTCTAGTTCCAGTCCTTTGTAGTCATGCATGAATGAAGGACATGGCTTAGAAAACACCCAGAATCAGTTATGTGAATCTTACAGATCAATAAATTCTTGGCTTGGAACTGCCTATTGGAATAAAAAGGGGTAGGCTGGTTTCTCCAGATCCTTACAAGGGTGGGTGTAATCCAGGAACAACTAGATGGATGCATTCAGTGAGAAATATTAACAGGTTAGGTCTAAGACAGTGGAAGACAGCATTTCAGAAACCCATTTCACACCAGACAGATGTGCTTTAATTTTTTTAAAAAAATTTTATGTTTATGACAGCTTTACCTGCATGTAAATGCACCCATGAGCACAATACTTACAGAGGCCAGAAGAGAGCATCAGATTCCCTGGAACTGGAGTTTCAGACAGTTGTTAGCTGCCACGTGGGTGCTGGGATTCAAATCCGGGTCTTCTGCAAGAACAGTCAGTGCTCCTAACTGCTAAGCCATCTCTCCAGCCCCAGGTGTTATTATTATTATTTTTTAATTAGTTTAAAAAAACAGCAACAAAACCTTTTAATAAGAAAATCTGATTAAATTTAATATTAACTCAAGCTCTTAACAGTCTTTCAGGAAAGCCAACAGGGTACATGAAAGACAAGCAGGCAGCTGCCAAAAGTTCTTTGGTGGAAGAAAGTATGTTTCACACAGGCTGCCCTAATGATTATCACACCCAAGTTTTTTTTTTCAAAAATAGGTCTCAAGGTATACCAAAGAAACCACACAGACACCATCAATCTGAAATGTAAAGTTCACGGGTGTCACATAAGCCCAACTTGACAATCACAGAAATAACTTTTCAATCCTAGAAAACTAAAATGGGGACAGGTTTGAAGGTAACAGTTCAAATAAGGGCAATAGCAAGTGGAGTAACCCTAGCATTTCCCCAGTGACTCAGCCACAGGGAGACAGTTAGTAACTTGGGGCTTTCCTTTTCCAAACCAAGCCAATTCAGTTCTCCTCAGGGATATGGGTTACAACTCCATGTGCATAAAAACAGTAGGGAAATGTCTTCTTCCACCCCCTTACTGCCATTTCTTCCTTTTCACCTTTTCCCTAATTTTCTCTAGTCACGTTTTTCCTTTGGTTTGACAAGTTGAACTCAGAAGGCTTTGAACCCAAGATGAGTACCAACTCTTATTGGAATAGCACTTGGAGAACGTGATCCTAGAAAAGGCAGCTTTTTGATGAGGTTCAGCATCCATTCTCAGTGTGACAGACGTCTCCCACGTAGCACCAGGTCAATGCAGGACACTAGTGGGCTCCCTGGTGAGATTCTGCAGAGCCATGCGTGCATACACACACCCACTTGAGCTTTCAATAAATATAACACATTGTTTTAAACCATTCAATAGAATAAATTAAGAATATTATGTTTCTCTTGGCCTGCTTTGCCTCTTTGAATGGCGTGGAGTACGGTTAGCTGGTGGCAACTCCGCGCTCCTTGGACTTGAGCACTTCCAGCTCCTCGGACCTCAGCACTTTCTTTGCAGCAATAATGGTGTTCTTCATTAGCATGGCCACTGTCATGGGACCAACACCCCCAGGGACTGGAGTGATGTAGCCGGCTTTCTTCCTGACTCCTACATGGAAACAGGAAAGGCAGGCTGCTTCAGATATGTATGGCCAAGTTGTGTGTACTTCAGCATGTTATGAAATAAGCATGCACAGAAAGAACAGTAATAAACATAAGCACTTTCATTAGTCTCAAATGCATTCAGCCCCTACAGGGCTGGAGAGAGCTCAGTTATAAGGTATTGGCTGTACAAACATGAGGACCCGAGTTTGAGCCTCAGAACGCACATGAAAAATCCAGATGTGATGGAGTCTGTCTGGGAGGCAGACAAGTGGATCCCTGATGCTTGCTGGCCAGCCAACCTAGCCAAATTGCAAGTTCAGATAAAAGTGAGACCCAGCCTTAAAAAGAAAGGTGACTGAAGAAGACAGCTGAAGAGGCACACACACAAAACAAAAATTTAAAAAAGTAACATCAAGGGGGCTGGAGAGATGGCTCAAGGTTATGAGCACTTACTGCTCTTCCAGAGGACCCAGGTTTGGTTCCCAGCATGCACATGGCAGCTAATGCATATCCTTAGCTCTAGTTCCAGGGGAGCCAATGCACTCCTCTTGCCCTGTGGGCACAGGCACACACAGTACACTTACAAACATGCAGGCAAAACACTCATAAAATTAAAAAAATAATTTTAAAAGTCACATCTAGGGCTGGAGAGATAGCTCTGAGATTAAGAGAACTTGCTGCTCTTACAGAGGACCCAGGTTTGTTCTCAGCACCACACTGTGGCTACCAACTGTCTGTAATTCCAGTTCCAGAAGAGCCAGTGCCCTCTTCTGGCCTGAGTGCAGAGCACTTACATACACACAGGCAAAATACTCATACACATAACAAATTAATTAACCAAATATAAACAAATAAAAGTTGCATCTACAGCCAGGCATAGTGGTGCATGCCCACAGTCCCAGCACTCAGAGGGCAGAGGAAGGAGCATCATAACAAGTTCAAGCTCAGCCAGAGCTACACAGCAAGGCTCTGTCTCAAAAAAAGCAAAACAATCCATATCTATATTGCTCAGGAGTAAAGGTTTTTATAAAAAATTGTATTACTTTTATTTTATGTGTGTGGGTATATTGCCTGCATGTATATAAGTGCTCCCATGTCATACAATGCCCACAGAGGTCAGAAGATCCCCTTGAACTGGATTTATAGACAGTTGTTAGGAGTCATGTGGGTGCTGAGAACTGAACCTGGGTCTCTACAAGAGCAGCCAGTGTTCCTAACCACGACCCATCTCTCCAACTCCAAGAGTAAAGGTTTTGAACACACTAATGAAATAACATGCCCATTTTACAGTCTTCAATGACTATCTGGACAATATTTAACCTGTAGTTTATGAGCCATACTTTTCTCCACATTGAATCAGTTTAAAAGGAAACATCTCAGTATGCCTATCATGAACTGAAGCTAAGTATCACTCTGGTACCTGCCTATGGTATTTAAAAAATTTAAATATCATTTGCCCAAAGCATCAAAGTCATTTCCTAGAAAGAAAAAATAAAATTTTTCTAAAACCCAATCTTTGAGGTTAGGGAGATGACTCAGTTAGTAAAGTGCCTCCAGGCAAGCATGAGGACTTGAGTTCATACCCCCAGTAACTGCTGTGTACAAGCCGGGCACAGTGGCTTGCATCTGTAACCCCAGCACTGGGGTGGGTAGGGGTGGATATGATCCCCTGGAAGTTCACTGGCCGGCCAGCTTAGCTGAATCAATGAGCCCCAGGTTCAGTAAGACCCCTTGTCTCAAAAATAAGGTGTAGATGGGGCTAGAGAGATGGCTCAGCAGTTAAGAGAACATTTGTTGCTCTTGCAGAAGACAGGTTCAGCACCCACATGGTGACTAACAACCACTCCTAACTCCAGTTCCAGGGGATCCAATGACCTCTTCTGGCCTCCATGGGCATTGCATGCATATGGTGCACTTACATCATACAAGCAAAACATTCACACACATAAAGTAAAAATGAATAAAATATTTTTTAAAAAGAGTTTAAAAAAATAATAAAACAAGGTAGAAAGTTATCAAGAAGACCCCTAATACTGATCTCTGGCCTTCACTTGTACATACAAACACACGCACACGCGCGTACATGCACACACACATACACACACACATACAATCTACATGAACATGTACACACCCCTCCATACAGACACATCAATTTTAACAGGAAAATACATGGATACCCAGACTTGAGTCTAACAGAAACAGAAAGCTGGAAATAAGATTATCAGCATGAAATTCATATCAATATCTTAAGAACTGAAGGGAGAACCACACATTTCAAAGTCATAGCTTTGGGATATAGCTTTTGGCCTGAATCATTTTAACATTCCAGGTCTGTGATCTCATCTCTCAATTAAGAAAACCATTATATTAAAGTTTTAGACTTGTTAAAACTCACAAAGTTGTTTCAATTATGACATAAGTCAAAAAAATTAAGGTGGGGGGGGCCCACTGGAGAGACGGCCCAGCAGTTAAAAGCACTTGCAGCTCTTGTAGAGAACCTGTATTCAATTCCCAGCACCCACATGGCAGCTTACAATCATCCATAACTCCAGTTCCAGGGGATCCAATGCCCTCTTCTGGTTCACATACATACATGCAGGAAAAACACTCATATACATACAATCAACATATTTTAAAATGCCATGAAAAGTTTATACTTGCCCACCAGTCATTTTAAGATGTAAACCACCTAAAATAGTTCTGGAATGGCTGTCATTTTAAAAAGATTTCTTGGGGCTGGAGGGATGGTTCAGCGGTTAAGAGCACTGACTGCTCTTGCAGAGGACCCGAGTTCAATTCCCAGCACCCACATGGCAGCTACAAACCGTCCCTAACTCCAGTTCCAGGGGAATCCGAAGCGCTTTGACCTCCGTGGCATTGCACAGCATGGGTGCACTCACTTACATGCAGGCAATACACTGATACACATAAAATAAAATAAATAAAATATTGAAAAAAAGATTTCTTAGCCGGGCATGGTGGTGCACACCTTTAATCCCAGCACTTTGGAGGCAGAGGCAGGCGGATCTTTGTGAGTTCAAGGCCAGCCTGGTCTACATAGTGAGTTCCAGGACAGTTGGGGCTACAGGGAGACCCTGTCTCAAAAAAAACAAAAAACAAAACAAACAAACAAAAAAAATTTCTCTCATAAAAAACATTTTAAGGCTAGGGACATGGTTCAGTGGTTAAAGCCTGAAGACTGGGGTTCATATCCCTAGGACTCACATTAAAAGCCGGTGGGCATGAGGGCCCACCTGTAAGTACAGCACTCTGAAAACAGAAACAGGAATTCCTTGAGCAAGCTGGCTACCAAGACTAGCAGTAATGATGAGCCTTGTGTTTAACTGAAAAGCCCTCCCTCAATGAAGATGGTCAGAGCAATCAAGGAAGACTCCCAACATCAACCTTGGGCCTCCACACAACATGCATGTGCACCTGCACACACATGCACTCCACACAGTATTACCAGGGTAACACAAGTTTAAAAGTTATATAAAAAGTAAATGATCTGACTTAATGTCCATTACAGGTAGTACTTACAGATTTTATGTTTTCAAAAAATAAAACTATTTACCTTCAAAATCCACATCTCCAACCAACTTGGGCTTGGCAGTGACAGGATCTTGAACTCTGTTTATTCCCACATCAATGACTGCTGCTCCTTCCTTGATCATGTCTGCTGTGATCAGATTTGGAATGCCTGGTGATAAAGATCAGAGCAGCACTGAAGGGGACATCCCACCTGTTGGCTTCTTTATAATTTCTAGACACCTGAAAGAACTTATTAGCATGTTTTAAAAATTAAAAGCATTTAACTAAGAAGCCATTATACTTCATGTGGAAATAGTCTGAAGTGTTTAGGAATACCCTTCCAGTCTACAGTGGAATGGCAGAAATCAATATTTGAATCACAACTCCATCCTTATCTTGTAGGCAGCTCAAAATATTACTGCTAGGGGAAAGATGGTTGGGATGGCAGTTAGGCAGGCAAGCTAGTGGTGCAACCCAACTCCTGATAAACGCAGGTCCCCCTACGCCCTTGCCAAGCTCTTACCAGCAGCAGACACTATGATATCCGCAAGAATCGTGTGCTTTTTCAGCTGCTCTTTGGGAGTGTATCGGTGAGATATTGTCACAGTGGCGTCACCTATGAGGCAAAAATAGATTTCTGGATTTCCAAATCAAGGCTGGGATTGGGTTAGCTTTCAGCTATTCACATCACTGTAGAAACTCAACATGTCTGGAAAACCAATAGATTTAATCCTTGTGCCACAATTTCTAAACAGCTAATTATCATTAACCTCTTTTTTTTTTTTTTTTTTTTTTTGAGACATTAACATCTTTTAAAA